TAATATATATATTAATCTACTAAGTAAGTAGATTATAAATATATATATCTTATATAGATATAACCTCTATAATAGAGGAAATATAAGATAAAGAAGTATAAGAATACTTAGAGATATTCTTACTTCTAATAAAAACACTATCCTTTTTATCTATAATACTACTATTTTTAACACTTAGTAATAGTATATTAAATAGGTTATATAGATTAAAGGGAAAAGTAGAGTTATTTTAGTGTTACTTTACTTATATAGCTTACTTTTTCTATATTTTCTTAAGAGCTTTAGTGTAGTAAGTAGTTTAGCTTTTATTCCTCTATAAGGATTAAATACTAGTATAGATTTCTACTTATGCCTTTACTACTTCTTAGAAAATATATTACTTAAGCCTAAAGTATAGTTAGTATATACTAAGGATATACTAGGGATATATAGAGGGTATACCTAACTATAGTATAGCAGCTAAAAGTTATAACTATCTCCTAACTGCTAAGTTATCCTAGCTATAACTAGACTTAATAATATTATTATATTTCCTAGTAAGAACCTTTACCTCTAGGTTAATATTACTTATTTTAAGTATAAGCCTATATATAATCTACTTTACCTTTTTACCTTTAAACTATAACTTAGTCTTAAGATATTAAGAGGTTATACCTTTAATATGCTTTATATATACTAAGGATAAGGTTAATTCCTATAGTCTCTAAAGCTTATGCTTAGCTATATAGTTAGGGAACTTCTTTTACTAGTTATAGCGTATATAAACCTTATAGAATATAAGGATATAGTAAAGGTGCTCCTCCTAGCTTCTTAAAAGGTTAATTTTAGTAAGGTAGTCACCTAGGCCTAGTATATAGTTAGTATATATAGAGTATATACCTAGAATATAGTAAGTATACCTCTAGCTTATTTCCTATCTATATCTATTATAATAGTATAGATAGGGAAGTTCCTAGTTAGATTAATATAATACTAATCCCTTTAGGAACTAGCTACCTTATAAAGGCAGCTAAAGTATTCTCTAAAGAGCACTTAGATATAAAAGCTTATATAATTATAACCTTAAATTTAACCTTAAATTTAACCTTATTTATAACCTTAAAGTAACACTACTATATATATATATATATATATATATAAGATATCTAATATAACCTTTACTTCTAGATATAGACCTATAGAGATTTACTCTCTAGTACTTTATCTCTAAGAAGTATAAAAAGTAGATATATTAATAGTAACTAGATTTACTCTAGGGTACTAAAAATAGAAATATCTACTTAAATAAAACTAGATATCAAACAGACCGTATTATGCTATAACAAGCTGTAACAAGTAGTGTAACAGGCTGTAACTAGCTTAAAACAGGCTGTAACAATATAAGGTTTCAAATCTATATAATAGTATAATAAGTATAATATAATATAAAGGTTAATATATATATTACTAGAAATATAGAAGTTAGTTAATTATATATAGAGATAAGATCCCCTTAAGGGATTCTAGCTCTCTATACCTTCTAAGTATAATAAAACTACACCTATCTTTCTACCTATCTATTTACTTATCTATCTAGTTAACCTACTGATCTACCTGCTATTTCTTATTAGAGCTACTTATACCTATCTCTTAAATAGGTATTAGTCTATATATAGATATAGGAGTTAATTTCTAGGTATAGTTAGTAAATATCCTTAGTATATACTAGATATATACTTAACGTACTTTAAGTTTCTATATTCTAACTATAAATCTTAAAGGTATTAATTTCTCCCTTAACTATCTTAAAGGCTATATCTACCTTAAGGAACTAGGCCTTTAGAAAAGCCTTAGCTTAAGTAGATTTAATATAAATAATAATAAATCTGTTATCTACTATTTTAATAATACTATAAATCTATTAGTCCTCTTTTAACCTTATCTTATTAAAAGTAAATTCCTAGATAACGCTTAGTATATATTTAGTATATACCTAATATATATAGGGTATATACTTATTATATATTACTTACTTATATAGCTAGAACTAGCTAGAAACTTAAGAAGACAGGCTCTATAAATAAAGACACTAATAATATTCTTATTTTATAAAGCAGTATAAATAGCCTAAAGTATACTTATCTTAAACCTATAGTATACCTTATAAATCCCTAGATTTATAAGTAGTATCCCTATATATACTTAGTATATACTAAATAAATATCTAGTAGATATAAAGCTTATATATAGTTAATATTATAATATCTAGCTCCTTTAAAAGGCTAAGTATAAGTTATTATAATAACTAAGAAAAAAGAGTTATTAGTAAAAGTAGAATATAGGTATATAAGCCTCTATAAAAGAGGAAAATAAATAGGAAGCGTACTTAGTTAATAAGGATATAAATATCTATCTTAATACTATATATATACTTCTAGATAGATCTACTACTAATAAACACTAAATATTAGAAGCCTAGAAATTTAGTTTATACTATAAATATATAGAGGATATACTAGGTATATACTTACTATATATTTTTTTATACTAAATATCTTTTTAACCTAGACGTATTTATTACTCTAGCTATATAACTAGCCTATAGAGCAAAGCTACTATAAATACTTAAGATTAATTTAACTTTAGTACTAAGGAATTAAAAAGATATTATACTAGGTCTTAGTATTACTTAATTATAAGCACCTAATAAATATTACCTATAAATATTAGAATATATCTTACTATAGTATAGTATATACTAGGCTTATACTTACCTTATTTTAGGTAAACACCTAGAAAGGCTATCTACTATAAGTATTAGTATTAGGGTTACTACCTTAACCTAGCTACTAGTATAGCTTATTAGGCTTCTAACGCTTCTTAATTAACTTAAAGAATCTAGTAAGAGTTAGTATAATCTATAGTAAGTATATATAGAGTATATACTAAATATATTAGTAATATATGCTTTAGTCTAGTGCTAGATATCCTTAGTAATTATTAAGGTAATTACTATTCTTTTTACTTTTTCCCTTATAGCCTAGTGTATTTAAATAACTTTCCTCTTATTAAAATACTTATTAGGCCTTAGAAAGGACTTATAAGTAAATTTATAGTACTTTATACTACTATATTAAAGGGATTAGTACTAGACTTTATTATTCTCTAGGTTATTCTTAGTATATTATTAGTATATACTTACTACTAGTATAAGATATACTAAGAATATATTACCTTAGTACTAAGTATAACTACTTAGATATATACTCCTTATACTTAGTTAAGTACTAGATAGTATCTAAAAGCTATTAAATAAGCTACTAAGCACTAGCTTTTAAGGTATCCTAAGTGTGTTAATATAATATAATATAGTAAAAAATACTAAAGGGTAAGGTTACTAGATAAAGAGGGGGGGTAAGATAGTCTTTAATAGACGTTACTATTATTTTCTTTCTACCTCTATAATTAAGAAGAATACTAAACTACTAAAGAGATTCCTAAAGAATAATAAGTATATACTAAGTATATAGCTAGTATATATAAGGTATATATTAAGAGAATACCTAAGTCTAGCCTATCTTAAATAGTAAATCTAGGGTATTAGCTCTTCTTTAACCCTAATAGTATTTATTAAGCTAGTAGGTATCTTATTCTACTTAGTAATTAAGATCTATAAAGTTAAAATAACTTATATTATTTAGCTATCTACTTAGTATATACTAAGTACTAGCTAAGCGTTCTTTACTCCCCTTAGTATTATCTTTATTAACACTATTATACCCTATATTATCTATCTAGTCCTTATTATTAGATAAGGTTAAGGACTAAATAGGTAACATATAGGTATAAAGGCTAGAGTTACTACTAGAATTATTAGGTATATTTATAAAGATAGGGGAGAAATTAGGTATAAGCCTAGTGTATAGTTTACTAAGGCTAAGTATATACTAAAATCTATTTATCTTTATATACTTACTTTCCTATTTAGTTAATTTATTAGCTATTTTATCTATACTACCTCTTTAACTACCTCTTTAACTACCCCTTTAACTACCCCTTTAACTACCCCTTTAACTACCCCTTTAACTACCTTTTTAACTGCCTTTATGTCTACCTCTTCTTATATATCTAGCGTATATACTATATATATACTAAGTAAGTAGTGTCTTATATATAACTTATATATACTAGAAAATAACTTATAGTACTATACTATACTACGTAAAGTTATATAACGGCTAGTGTATGTATAACCCTTTTACCCCCCCCTAAACTTTTGCCCCACTGGCCGGATACCCCCCCCTGAACTTGGAATACCCCCCCCCGAACTGTCTACCCGTCATCTGAATACGACGATCCCCACAGGGGCCGCCAGTTGCCAAGACAGCAAACGAAAAAAAGGAAAAGGAACAAAAAAGGACAAACTTCGGACGCAAGAATTACACTCTAACCCCCCCAAAACGGCCTAGTAGTGGCTTGCAGCCCCCCCCGCGATTCACCTTGCCAGTGGGAGGGGAAGGGGACAGTCGGAATTACCCTTCGGCCTATGAGCTCATGTGAATGGAGGCACAACAGCGAAGTGAGGCAATACTGCTGTATTGGTGATATCTGGTGATGTGTGTGTGTGATGGAGGAAATCCTCCTCACAAGGCTACGGCAGAGGCTGGAGATGAAGGTGAGGGGCCTGGGAGGTCACGTGACCTACCAACACACGGGCCCCCTCACAACAGCTCATCATGGTCGCAGGCCCCCCCCCCCCCCCCCCCCCCCTTCGCCAAGCTTATGTGCCCTCCCTTGCACAGGTCCCCTGAAAGGGATGAGATGACAACCAACTGCGGAAATTCCACTCGACAAGTGTCCCTGCGCTTGCGAGAGAGCTTTCCGAAAAAAATCCAACATTACCCTACTAAACCGCACCTCGGATTCCCGCACCCCATTAACAACCCCAGAAAGCTCCAGATATACATATACATATATATATATTATCGAAGTACCCGGAGGGGAAAAAGCCACAGTAAAGAATGGCTCGTTCTTGGAAGCCCGTCTTCTGGGCCCTTTTCCTGCTGGTACAGCTGGGCATCGCGTCGTCCGTGGCCGAGAAGCTTGGCTTCGCAGGCAAGGCTGTTGCCGACCTCAGCCTCGAGGAGCTCGACGAGCAGCTGCAGGTGAGAGATGGCTTGCCAATGGGCGCCGCATTCACATTGTCGCATTCACATTGTCTCGCGTGCAGAAGCAGGAGGATAGGATTGATACGCAAGTATGGATATGCTAACTAGCCGTCATCACGCAGCAATGCCCCGTAGTCCAGAGCCTCACGGCCGATAAGCTGTCCAAGCTGAACGACACCCCCTCCCTTCTCTCGCGCGCTTTCGGCGTCCTCTTCCCCGGCTCGCCCGCCGTCAACGCCATTCTCGCCACCCTCTACATCTCCGGCCCGCCCAACTTCCTCTTGGCCCTGTGTCCGCCCAACATCGACCCCTCCTCGCTCTCCGTCATGGTCGCCTTCGCCGTCGGCGGGCTCATGGGCGACACCCTCTTCCACCTGCTGCCCGAGATTTTCCTCGGTGAGGATGAGCCCGAGCGCGCGCGCCTCGTTCTCGTCGAGCCGAACCGCAACTTGCTCCTCGGCGTCGCCATCCTTGTCGGCTTCATGACGTTCGTGGCCATGGACAAGGGCCTGCGGATTGCCACCGGCGGGGCGGGTCACTCCCACGACCACGGCGGGCACTCTCACGCTGAGGCAAAGGCCGAGGGTGTGTCGTCGGCCGTGGAGAAGACGGGCGAGCTCAAGTCGCGGAAGAAGAAGGCCAACAGCGCCGGCCCCACCGGCGGCGCGGCGGACAAGACGGACAAGGAGATGAACCCCAGCGTCAAGCTCGCAGGTTACCTCAACTTGATGTATGGCCTTTCTCTCTCAACCCCTTGCCGCGGGCGACGACTATGTCACCGATTCGGGGGCCTCGGGCAAAAGCCCACCCATTTCTCGAGTATTCGACTAACCTCGTTCGTGCAGCGCCGACTTCACGCATAACATCACCGACGGTCTGGCCATGTCAGCTAGCTTCTACGCCTCCCCAACCATCGGCGCCACCACGACGGTTGCAGTCTTCTTCCACGAGATCCCTCACGAGGTCGGCGACTTCGCTCTGCTGGTGCAGTCCGGCTTCAGCAAGAAGGCGGCCATGGGCGCGCAGTTCGTGACCGCGCTCGGCGCACTCCTGGGAACCCTCATTGGCATCGCCGTCCAGGAGCTCGGCGGCGGCTCCGGCGACGGCACCATGGCGCGCAACGCGGGGCTGTGGGGAACCAGCTTGGTGAGTCCAGCAGTTGTGCTGACGCATACGTACACGGCCATGATGCAACGTGCTAACGATGCCGGCAGACCTGGGGCGATATGCTTCTTCCCTTCACGGCGGGTACTTTCCTCTATGTGGGCACGGTTGCCGTCATTCCCGAGCTGCTGGAGACGGGCCCGAACAAGATGGCCGAGCTACGTAAGACGCTGGTGCAATTCGCCGCCATCGCTGTGGGCGCCGGCATTATGCTGTACATTTCGTGGCATGACTGATCCACCCCCCCTGCACGACTTGGATGTTCCGCAAACAGACGTGCTTAAAGACAATCCCGACGGTGAGCAGGTTGGGATGTGAACAGTATAGAAGAGCCGGATTCCGCTTTCACGCCTACGGCGCAGTAAGCTGGGGGATGCGTTAATGGCTTACGCTAATCAAAAGGGTGTAGACGTGGCAGAGACCGCGTGGACGGCGCCCCGACGACTCGGTTAAAGGATTGTTTTCTTCCTAACCGTCTTTGGTTGAAAGGTGCGGCCGCAAAAGATGGCTTTTTCGTTTCTTCCTGGAGAAGTTGGGGTAAAGTACACTAGGTAGAGGGACATGTAAGCCCGAGTACCTTGGCTGGAGTAACGATACTTGGTGACACGAAGAAACGAAAACTTGCAGAGAATGGCGGAATGAGTTCGTGATGAGGATGCAGTGCTCCGACGACGCCGTCTTCGTAATGGCTTTTAGGCCAAAGGCAACAACAACAGGCTAGCCCAATCACCCTCCTGGGACCAGGTGTAGATGGATGGCATGTCCTCATGATTCTTTTTCATTTTATTCTTATTTTTGGCAGAGCACGCAATGAGGCCAAGCCAATTACTTTGTTGGTGCAATGCGGCCCTAGGTATGATGTTTGTTCCAGCCACCTAGGTGAGGATCATGAATCCCGGGCAGGCAAGGCACGCAGCACGGATTAATAATGATGGTGGTCGTCGGTTGGTAAGCTATTGTTGACTCTTTGCGACTGCCAGCGGCTTGGACAGTTGGTTCAAGGTGAGCATGTGAGACTGACCGCCCACACTGTTGCTAGTGCTGCAACCCGATTGACATGAGGCGTCCGGCAGGGCGCGAGCTGAACAAAAGTTGCGTCGTAGGGCGGGTTGGTCAACAGAGAGGTTAGCGCTTGTTGTTGTTGTTGAGATCTACATGCAAGCATCTCTTCAAGGAGTCTGGGAATGACTCAATTAGCGGGCATACCTATATACCACTCAGTTCGGTCTCCCGTGCCTCCCCCGGTCGAAGACGGAACCCGTCACAGGGCGGTCTAGCCATAGACGTCGAGCAATCAGCCTATGTTTGCGGAAGTGCGGCCCTTGGGTAATTCATCCGGCTGGGATATCACCGGCGCGCTGGTGCTCCAGCAAACGTGCATCGTGGTTTGATCGACGACCAGACTTCCTTCATCCGAGGGGAAAAGAGACTAGAACTCGCCGGGGGGGGGGCTTCACCGCCGCCAGACATCGTGACATCTTGACAAAAGATGACGGACACCACTATGCCGCTGCCCCCCACGGTTTCGTTTGTCGTCGGCTGAAAGTGGATATGCAAAGGGATTACACCGGTTTAAACTAACATGGTCCACAAACCGACTGGGAGAGCCCACAATTGTCTCCTGTTTTCCCAGACGCATGTACATAGTAGGCTTCTGTCCCATATGCACGCCCTGGCTCGGGATGGGCAGTCGGCGAAGCATCGCAGCTTTGGCTGCTGCTTACTTCAGAGCCGCAAGGCATGCAGCGATGGGCCGTGTGCTGTCATCTGAAGAGCCCCATCTTGTTCCGCAATGGAGCCGTAACCGTCTGACGATCCGTCTGCTTCCGTGCCTTGGCCTGGCATGCCTGGCGATTCTAGAGTTCCATCGGACGTTCCATGCCGTCTAGTGTCGTCACTCGGATGGATCTCATCAGTCAGAAGCTCGCCATCTTGGTGCGGATGCCATTTTTTGGTGAGACATCCAATCGCATTCCTGGTTGGCCACAACGTGGTCGGCTGCAGGCCTGGGTGGACCCTCCTGCTGCCCCCGGGAAAGTAATATAGGCGATTGGCGATAAAAGGACCTTGGTGTCTTTTCTCTCGTACGTGTGTGCACACGTGTAAGAGAAGAAGAAGAAGAGAGAGAGAGAGAGAGAGAGAGAGAGAGAGAGAGAGAGAGAGAGAGAATTATGCAAAAACCAGGCGGGCGGCATTGAGCAAACCCAAAGGCGTCGAACGTGGGATGAGGAGTAAAATTTTCACTTCATGATGGTAATCGTCGCAACTTGGATGGATCTCATTACTGCCGGTTTCCCCTAACGTTAAGAGTTCGCGAGGCACACCCCATCGGCGCATCCTTGGGGTGGATCGTGTCACATCCAGACCACCGGGGCTCCACCGGCGTGACAGAGCGTAACGACCGCTAACGGGAGGCCGAACCGGGTCGCCGATGTGTCTCCGCTGGCGGAATCCACCCTCAACCGTGTACGTTAAGGGGACCCGATGGCATGGGTGTCGAGTAATGCCAAAGCCCGCCGCCAGGCACTTAAAGGCAAGGCGCGGCGCCCCTGGATGGATCTCATTAGACATCAATTCCGTGTACGTAAAGCCCAGCCGGTTGTCATGTGTTACTTGGAATTTTGCATCTCATTTGGTTTTTCTTTCGTCGTCTGTCTGCTGAATTGCGATATCCATCCACCCTTGCGGCTTGCTTGAGTGTGGAATCCAATGACCGAGAGGTAGAGGTACATGCGGTACTTGATTCACACGTCGTACTTCGTACCGTTCAACCTGGCCATGCTCGCTCGCCCTTGCTTGCTTGGAGGGCTTTTTTTTTGTGCAACGAACGGCACACAGCACGCAAGGTTGGCTCTGCGCTCAGGGGTGGGCAGAGGTTTGGTCGTGCGTGTGACATGAAAATGCAGCCGTGACGAAGCAAAGAGCAAGGGGAAGAATTTCGCCATCCTTGCTTGCAGTTGTTGTGTAGGGTGACGACCCGTGTTGAATGGTTTGGAGTCGTGGCCAGCTATGAGAGTTTCCTCGGGGGCAGGCCGGCTAGTGCGGTGATGCAACTGCGTCGTACGCGCCTTATCACGGCGCATTGTTGGCCGGGAATAGTTGAACAGGTAACGAGGCACGACCGACAAGAGAAGTTTGGGAGGCTAACGTGCCGCAGTCATTGGCAGATGGAAGATGGGGTCGTAGATCTTGAACCCATCACACGGCTCCCCGCGTGCCCGCATCCCCTCCTCGGGTTGAGTTGCATGTTGCGTGGTGTCGCGGGGGGTGGCTGTTAATGCCCCGTCCAAAGATGACAACAGCCGGAGTCTGGCACGGCTCCGATTGCACTCCAACATGTCATGTTCCAAAGTCCAATCTCATCGACCAGTTCATTCAAACAATTTTGTGGATTCGCCTGTGATTAATGAAGGAATATCATGTACTGTAATATTCTCTTTGGTGTTTTTTTGATGTCTGTTGGATAGCGACGAGAACCTGCGAAGGCAGTCGAGGCATGTATTATCGAGTGGCATGGACATGCATGCATATATGAGATGGAAACTTGATTATCAGGCCAATTGAGCATTGAGGGGAACTGCAAACAGACCTCGGTCACTGTTGCAGCCAAGGGGCTCGGCGTACTGCTCGTTGATTCTCGTCGTTCACGGTGTTTCCTGTCAGTCAACGATAATTAGGCAGATTATCGCTCCCAAGAGTCTTGGTAATCATCCTATTGGTAGGCACCGGTAGACACCGATGTCAATGGCGCGAGCAACACCTGAGCGCGTTGGGATGTCAGCAGCCACCATGGAGAGCGAGAGAGAAAGAGAAAGCAATACGCTTTGGCGACTGACGGGAGGTTAGCATGCCAGACAAAACAAAGTCGGTGCGATTCGAGGGCATCATCGGCGAACCGAAAGTTGGCCGTTTCGCCGCGATCCACAGTGTTGGCAGCAGCTACGTAGGGTGCACCTACCGCAGCTAGGTGCGACTCCGCATGGGAGAAGTCGCGACAGGAGCTTCAAGGGAAGGGTCTCAAGCGCCGGGAGCACCTGCCGACCATCGGCGACATCCTAGAGGAGAGGAAGGTCCAGTGGTAGTGTACACGGAAACAACGGCAGGGTGTCATTGAAAAGTGGGTCCTGCGCCTTCCCACGACTTGGGCTTGACATGATGACTCTATCAGCGACCAAAGCGCGCCGCGCTACTGGGTCGGACGAGTTGATGGATTACCCATCTGAAGAGATGCGAAGCTGGTTTGGACACTGCATTGACGAGAGAATGGATCTAGGTGAGATTGGTCAGACAGAAGTTGGCGGTTGGACGCCGCCGTTGAGGGATGATGCGAACTGTGAAGTAAAGGTAGGAGTCATAGGGAAGGAAGCCCCAGCTGTAAAGCCACTCTACTCCCAAGTTTGACCTGAAGGGCGTCAGTTGCCTTTTCGCTAGCGCATTGCCCGCCCGCTAGTCATCAGTCATCTACCACCTTGTGGGGACTTTCAGTACCCTTTTCTCGTTGTCCTGGTCCCCACTCTTCCACCACACACGCACTCACAGATAGACAGAGGAAGGTAAGGTACCTTGGCTACGTATCCAATGTACCTTCTTCGCGTACCGGTACCTTTTCCCTCCTCCTTCCGTCTCGCGGGCTGATGATGAGCAGCCCGCCTTTTGCGGTTGTGCCATGGGTTTGATCAATCCGAGTCGAGACCAAAGTCTTCTCGTCCTGGGGGAGGGGAGGGGGACCTGCCCATCCTCGAGACAACCCAGCCTTTAATAAGAGAGCCTGCTCGCCCTTCCTGCAGTGAGGGATGCAATTGTTGTCTGTCTCTCTCTGCATATCACCCATAGGCAGGGCTTTCTCTCAATCCGTCCCCATCGCATCACTGCATTGCCAACTCCATTACACAAGCCAGCCAAAATGTCGGGCCACAGCGACATGAGCTCGGTCATCACCTTCGCTCGACAGCCCGCATCCTCCCGGAAGCACAGCGTCGAGGTCAGGATTAACGACCACTACCACTCCAAGGTCTACACGTCCGGCAACCCCATCTCCGGCGAAGTGACCGTCACCCCTGGTCACGACAACCGATTCGACTACGTTCAGATCATCCTAATTGGCACATCGAGAACCCGCCTGGACGCCTTACAGATTCCCCAAGTCTCCTCCCACACTTTCCTCAAGCTGGAAATGCCCATCCCCGACTCCGCTTATCCCGTGCCCCGCATCTTCGAGGCCGGCTTGACTTACACCATTCCCTTCAACTTCGTCATTCCCCACCACTTGACCATCAGCGCCTGCGCTCACAAGGCCCAGTCAGACTACATCCACGACTACCACATGCGCCTTCCGCCGACCATGGGTGGCTGGGAGAGGGACGACATGGCTCCTAACATGGCCCAGGTCCAGTATGCCGTCAATGCTCGCGTTGTGCGACAGGACGAACTCGGCGGCAAGCCCATGAAGCTCATGGAGGACATCCACCTCATCAGGGTCCTTCCCCGCTCCCCCGAGGACCCCCCTTTGAACATCACCAAGCATGATGGGGCCTACGCTCTCAGCAAGACCAAGACCGTTCGCAAAAACCTCTTTTCTTCGAAGCAGGGCCGCATCACTGCCGCTACTGCTCAGCCGAGCGCTATTCACCTGACTGCTGACGGCCGCTCGGCCTCCGAGGGTTCTATCCTGGTGAACTTGAACTTCGAGCCTACCTCTGCCGACATCCTGCCCCCCCAGGTGAACACGGTGTCTGCCAAGCTCCGGGCTCAGACATGGTACGGCGCGACCCCGATGACGAAACTGCCCAACATGGGTGACATCCAGGAGGCTTTTGCCATGTCCCAGCATCACGTCTACACCACCTCGACCCCCTTGCTCTCAACGTCGGTGGGTAAGGTAGCCTGGCGCCAACAGTTGACTTCGACCGCCCGTCGCGATTCCGGATACTCTAGCGATGGCCTGCGCGAGAGCGGTCACTCCGACTCGGATAATCAAAACCACAGCCAGAGCCGTCGTCCGAGCCGGGACCTGAAATCTCCCATCTTCCACATGGCCGCCCTTCAGATCCCATTCAAGCTGCCGACGTCACGAAAGACCTTTATCCCAACCTTCTATTCCTGTCTCATCTCCCGTACCTACGCTCTGCAACTGACGCTGGTGGTTGGCGACTCCAAGATCAACTTGAACGTTCCCTTGCAAATCGCCCTCGAGCCTCCCGTCCAGCAGGATCTTCTGGATATGGGCCCGCCTAGCTTCGATGCTGTGATGGCACAGCAGGAGGAGGCAGAGGCGGATGCGTTTTTACAGCCCCGGCTGTTGCAGCAGCCGGCACCCGAGTTCCAAGGCAACGCTGTTTTGCCCAACTACGGCGATTTGGCGACGAGATGGTCAGCTGTCCCAACTGCATGATGCAGTTGCATTGCAGCAGTAGTGCCTCTATAACGAGTTATGACTGACGGAGAGTGTTGCATGCGATACCACACACTTCTCGATTGTTTCCTCCTTTCTATATATATGTATATATTTTAAGGCGGAGGATGTAGCTTAGGCCACACTTGGTCTACACGGCATGGGTATCGCGCATTGGAGTTTGGGTCAAGAAAAGGGATGATTTATTGCGAGGGAGTGGGCATTTTTCCTCAAGGGTTCCGTCGGTGGCTCGTCGGCATAGTAGATACCCCAGAGAGCAAGTGCAAAATTTGATACACACAAGCAATATTTATAATGAGAGAGAAAAAAGTAACATTGAGAAGCCTCAGCGCACCTGTGCCGTATACCGGCCACCATGAATTCCGACTCCCGACGGCGACGGCCTGCTTCCGGCCGAATCAAGCAGCCGGAGCGGAGTGGAGAACTCGAGGGTCCGACAAAGGGGAAAGTGGGGACCAGAAAGTTCTGGACCATCACGGTGCCTTTTCCGTTCAATTGCGGTGGAGTCAGTCGCCTTTCCCGCTTTTTCTCTGCCCTGCCCCGATTCCCCAGAGCCTGGACTGGAAGGTTACTTGTCACTGGGCAGATGGGCGGGGAGAACAGGTGCATTGCCACATTGCAAGGCATGAATGGCCTTTTCGTGACATTGAAGATGGAGAAGTGGCTGAAGTGGGCATCAGATGACGGCATGTTGGTCCCACCCGCCAGACCGCCCCTCTCCTGATCAAGATTGCTCGACGTGCCGTTAGATGAGAGAGAGGAAGAAGAAGTAGTGTGGTAGTGGGTTACTCCCGGCATTTCTATTGATAGCGGTATTGTACAACCGCGTAGCGTGGGCGGGAGGCAGGGTGAGCGCCGATCATGTCCACTCAAGTAGCAACAACAACGTGCGTAGGTGTTGAACGAGTGACATACTTGTACTGCCCCGAGGTGAGCTGTACCCGACCTTTGGAAGCGACCAAACAGACTCGACTCCTGGAAGATTTCAAGGGATGACATTGTCACCCCTTTGGAAGGAAATGGCACGTGATGGCGCCAATCCCCTTTCGTCTTGGCCTGCAATTTGAGCCACCAAACGCCCCGTGTCGGTTGGATTTAGCTTCCCAACAGGCAGTCTTGATTGGTGCCCTTGATGGCGGGCAGCGGCAGATATAGGGGCCAGGGGAAATAACCACTGCCTGAAGTCTACCTACCTAGGTACCTTGGATTTAGGTGCAATGAATGGCTATACCTGCTGCTGCACTAAGTGATGGCGATAAGCATCCGCCGCCAAGTGTCTTGGGAACGACATGGTGAGATAAGCAATCCTTGACCACATGAGATGCTGAATGGACGATGCCTGCGATGGCAAATACGACATCTCTGGACAAAATGTAACCGATGAAGCTGCACTAGTTATGCCGTGACTGTGGTTAACACATTTTACCTTTGCGGAAGGTAAGCCTTGAACCGTGCGCCCGACCCATGTCATACCCCCCCATTATTACCATTCCCATCCATTCCGTCCCGTATCCGTCCAGGTCTAGCTCGCTCGTTCTTCCAATTGCCTCTTCTTCCTCATCCCCTCCCCGTCCCGTCTCTTGCGCGGTTCCGTCGGTTGTCATTCCTCTCCCCTGAACGCAGGTTGCAAATCCGCACAAGGTTGATCCTGTTTCTAGGAACATTTCCGTGGCCGAGTAGTGTCATTCCGAACGATACTGCCTTCTAAACTTCGAGCTTGACACTTTCCGACTTCTTTTTGGTACTTGGTACCGATTCCACTCGTTTCTCCCACATAACCCTTTCGCCTTCTCCCCAAATTCTCTCTCCTCTCTTTCTCTCTCTCTCTCTCTCTCTCCCTCTCCCCTAGTCTTTGGTGCTCCCTCCCCCATTTGCGGCGTCGTGGCGTGGAGAGACACCCGTGCAGCCACCACGGACCTTCGACTGAAAGCGACCCATCGTTTTACCTCTATTTCGATCGCGTCCTTGTCCTCAATCCCTCCAGTCACTTGCCACCACACATTGAAGAATCAGCCGACGAATCGGCCATATTCATTGCAGACACTCGTCTTTTCTACAGAGAGCTGTTGACTGCGGTACATGCGAACACAGCCGACGACTCGCGACTAGACACATCACGATGCGACAGGTGCTCAAGGCAGGCTTGGGATGCATCGTCTCCCTGCTGCTCGCCACACCGGCTGACGCCTTCTACATTCCAGGTTCGGCGACCCCCCCCCCCCTCCTAGGAGCCACAGGCCATGACATGCCAAAAGTAACAGTGCTGACTATAGCGGACAACAGGCTGGTCGATCAAGAGCTACAAGGACGGCGAGCAGATACCTTTACTAGTCAACAAGGTCTACTCGGACAACACCCAGCTGCAGTATGCCTATTACGACCTCCCCTTCGTGTGCCCGCCGACAGGCCAGCGGAAACCCGGCACTGGCTTGCTTAGCGGACAGAGCATCCCTCTGAACCTAGGCGAGGTCCTCCGCGGCGACAGGATAAAGACGTCCGACATTGACCTTGTCGTCGGCCAAGACAAGCCGTGCAACTTGCTGTGCAACCGCGAGATCAGCAGGAAGGAGATGCGCAGAGCCAAAGAGATGGTACACGATGGCTACGTCACCGAGTGGATCGTCGACAACCTTCCCGGTGCGACGAGCTTCGTCACCGTCGACAAGAGCCGCAAGTACTACGCCGCCGGCTTCAAGGTCGGGTTCACCGACTACTCGGCGAACAGCGGCAAGCCGCGCTACTTTATCAACAACCACCACACCATCGTCATCCGCTGGCGCAAGGCGCCTGGAAAGGCCGGCGAACACGGCGGAAAGGTCGTCGTGGGATTCGAGGTGTACCCCAAGAGCATCGGCCCCAGCAACAAGCGCGATGACAAGGGCTGCCCCGCGGACCTACAGAACATTGACCAGAACTTTGAGCTGTACCTCGCCCCGAACAAGTCGTCCGACACGTCGAAGCACAACCTCGATTCCTCCTACCACCCTGCAGCCGAAGAAGACCTTGACGACGACGCCAAGCTTACAATCCCCTACACTTACTCTGTGTACTTCCGCGAGGACAACAACGTTGAATGGTCGCGACGCTGGGATTTGTACTTTGTGAACCAGGAGGAAGGCCAGAAGATCCACTGGCTGGCCATCGTCAACTCGCTCATCATCTGCGGCCTTCTCACCGGCATTGTCCTGATGATCTTGGCTAGGACGATCCGCTCGGATATCAAGGGCTACAAGGAGGTCCCGCTCGAGGACGGCAAGCCGAGGCTGAAGCGCAAGAAGACAGGCAGCAGATCTCCCAAGCTGTCGGAAAAGACTGGAGGGCTGCTCGATCAGGGAAACGACGTCGATAACGACGCGGATATGTCTTCGGACGACGAGGCACTGGAGGATGTCACTGGCTGGAAGCTTCTGCATGCCGATGTTTTCAGGACGCCCCAGTACGGATACCTCTTGGCTCCCCTGGTCGGATCGGGAATGCAACTCCTTTTCATGGCAGTGGGGCTCGTTCTGCTGAGCGCGCTGGGCATCCTCAATCCCAGTTTCCGCGGTGGATTCATCAGCGTGGGTGTCGGTCTCTTCGTCTTCGCCGGCCTCTTCTCCGGGTACTTCTCGGCGCGGGTGTACAAGACGTTTGACGGACAGGATTTCAGAAAGAACGCGCTCGTCACGGCCGTCCTGTTCCCAGGCCTCCTCTTCGGCATTGTCTTCATCCTCAACCTTTTTGTGTGGGCACAAGCCTCAAGCACGGCCATTCCGTTCGGGACCGTCGTGGCCATCGTCTTCCTCTGGCTCTGTATCCAGGTGCCTCTGGTCTACGGCGGCTCCTGGTTCGGGTTCGTCCGCGGCGGAAGCTGGGAGCACCCGACCAAGACGAGCACGAACCCCCGCCAGGTCCCACAGCAGGCATGGTACATCCAGCCGTGGCAGTCGGTGCTCCTCGCCGGACTCATTCCCTTTGCCGTCATCTTCATTGAGCTGCTGTTCGTCTTCCAGTCGGTGTGGCAAGACAAGAGCGGTTACTACTACGTGTTTGGGTTCCTGGCGGTGGTATCGGTGATTCTCATCCTGACGATTGCCGAGGTGACGGTGGTGACGATCTACATCCAGCTCTGCTCGGAGAACTACAACTGGTGGTGGCAGTCGTTCATGGTGGGCGGCGGCAGCGCCGTGTGGGTATTCCTGTACTGCGTGTGGTACTACTTCTTCAAGCTGCACATCACGGGCTTCGTGAGCAGCATGCTCTTCTTCAGTTACAGCTTCATGGCATGCTGCATGTACGGTCTCCTGACGGGCACCATCGGATTCCTGAGCGCGTACGCATTCGTCAGGAGGATCTACGGGTGAGTTGTGTCTCTCGGCCCCGGAGTGCCTAGGCAAAGCTAACACAGCGACAGTGCCATCAAGGCAGACTAGACTAAGCTGCGACGTCGGCCATGTTGGGGAGATTGACGTGCCCTAATGTTGGCCTCGGCACGAACAGGGGACAACAATGCATTATTCGAGGCGTCAAAATCTAAGGTATGGGAAAGTCCAAGGGAATGGGTAGGCTGGCGTTTACTGGAAGTGAAAGTGCTCCCAGGCCCCGGTTTGGGGCGGGTTGATAGACTATTGAACAAGGTACATATGATGAATAGGAGCTTGACGGGCGAAAGCGTGCGACAAAATTGAATAGGTAGTTGCGAGTATATACTTAACAAGAGTAGTTTCGTGTGCCTAACTTGGAGGATGACGTGTCGTTGATCAACCAAGAGGCATGCCGAATGTGTGGCGATGAGGAGGGACGAGGAACAGCAGCGGCCGATTCTTCAAGGATAATAGTTTCGTGGTGGCACACCGGTTACCCAATCAGATGAGAATAAGCAGGACCTGCCTCTTTTGGGGGGCACAGGGAGACAGACAGACAGATAGATAGGTCCCTGGTGGCGGATAGCTGAACCCCCCCCCCCCCCCCCCGCCGGTATTGGAGTGTTGTGGGCCGCCGGACACGGTCTGACAGAGAGACAATATTTCACCACATCTGATGCGAAGATGAATGGTTTTGCGACAGCGGGGGATGCTGGGTTTGGCGGGTAAGGTGCCGCGTAGGGCAGCACACGTAAGTAAACTATTGACCGCCGTCTGATGAATCGAGGCGAAACACGAACAGATGTGAGACCCGACAAGAGACGGACACGGGCGGCGAGGGAGAAAAAAAAAAAAAAGTGCGGCCTCGTTAGATAACCAGCGGCTACCGGGGCTCGGGCTACGTGTTTGTGGCTTTCTGTTTCACACCGCATGTTGGAAGAACCATGATGCTTGACCGGAGAGAGAGAGAGAGAGACAGAGAGAGAGTTGTTGGAGAGGTTGGTTGACCGTTTACACTGGCCTTTCCCTTCATGCATCAGGTACTCAAGCTTTCGCCGGATCCAATGGGAAAGGACCCAGAACGACAAGCCACCGCGGGAGCTAGGAAAGCGGTGGAATGCTGCAGGGGGGGGGGGGGGGAGGGGAGAGAGAGAGAGAGAGAGAGAGCGCTCACCGTTTCAGTCACTCTTCTTGGTACCGTGGTCTTGCTCTTGGGGTGAGGGAGGCTGGAAGAAGCGCGATATCGGAGGAGGATGGATGGACTGAAGGATTCCTGAACAATGGGCGTTTCCGGCGCTCACCGATCGAAACCTAGTGCCGATTCGTTGGCATCTTGGGTCTCGCTCGTCGCTCTCCAGAAACACTACTCTACACTACTCTACACTACACTACACTACACTACACTACACGCAACGCAACGCAACGCAAAGCGACGCAACACAGAACAAGACAATACGCCGGTGCCGCTTCCGAAGTGTCTGGGGTCCACCACGTACAGATAGACCCCACTCCAACCCCCACCCAACGGTCCCGAGCCGGCAAAGCTGCTTCCGCGCGCGCGAATTGTGTTTTGCTGCCACCGCTGCCATATTCGTGCCCAGTCGCCTCGTAGCAATGCCAGGAATCGGACCCTCCCCCGGGGCGACTGACTGCACGCGACGAAAGGGGACGAAGGCATCCACATCGGTGCCTGCCCGCTTGGCTGGGGTAGCCTAGCCTGGCCTGGCCTGGCCTGGTTCGTCTGCTCTCCTCATTCCACTTCCCTACTGGGGTGCTTGTCAAACCCCCATCGCTTCCAAATCCGACCGTCTGGGAATGTCCATTTCACCATCTTCAACACTGCTTCCTGGACCTCACTCCCGGACGATCCTTTCTCTCTCTCTCTCTCCCTCGTTGTCTTTTGGGTTGTCTTGGCTTGTTACTTGTCTTCTTGCTTGCCGTCCCTAGACCAGACCAAAGACATCACTCGCGTTTAACCGGGGTTTCTTTTTGTTGTTGCCATACATACATGCATACGTGCTTGCTCACCACCAAGTCGCTCGCTCATGACGTGCTCGTAACAAATCAAACAGCAAACCCGCCCTACTCACATACACATCGCGAAACCGCGAGGAGTCCGGGGAAACGCACGACTTGGACGCACACCACGCCGCCTCAAGCGTCTTCGCCGCACCTCCGATGATGGTGGCGATGGACTTTTTCTACGAACGAGCCTTTGTGCTCGCAGCCACGGCGCGCTCGCATTCCCAGACCCTGCTGGCCAATATCCAGAGGTAAGTGTTTTCTGTGTAGATTTGTTCTTCTTTTTTTCTCTTTTCGTGTGAGTTGTACTGGTGAAATATCCCAGGCCAGGGTCGGCGGCGCAAGAGCGCTATAGCCATTTATGCCCACGTCCCCGGATCTCGTCTCTTCGACTTCGAGACAAATGCGCGTTTAGCGTGTGCAAGCGCAAAGCTCGCTCACTCACTCTCACCCTCACTCAACCCACTCTACTCCCGATAAAAACCCACGGGCTCGAACAAACTGACAACCCCCCAAATAGCCACGGGCAACTCCCTTGGGTTGACGACGTCACCGAGTTCACCGACTCCGGCTACGTACAGGTGCTTATCCTCGTCCTCTCCGCCGTCTGGACCACCTCCCGCCTCTTCCGCCGCCGCCGCGCTAGACCGTTGTCGTCATTACCATCACGGCTCTACATCCGAGCCGCAGCCATTCGATGGCCCTGGGAGCTTGCCGCCCAACTGTCCCGCGCCGCTGCCCTTGCCTTTCTCGCCCTCGCCAGCGCCCGCGGCCAGACCCCGTGGCTGAACGCATTGGTCGTGGCCTACGCTTTCGTCCTCGGCCTCTCGAGACTCGTCAACGACCTGCAGTGGCGGCATGTCGCGCTGTATCAAGTCAACTTTGTCGTCTCGGCCGAGGTATTAATCCTAGCCGCGTCGTCAGTATTGCCGTGCATTGAGGCGTCAAACGAATGCGCCATTGCGACCCCGGTTCGCGGCGGTCTCGTGAGCTTGGCAGTTGCCGTCGTCGTCGCCATCACCACGCCGCGGGAATGGGTACCTCCGTCGCTGATTCACGACGTGCCCGAAGAGTTTGCAGCTCGCGGGCCCGCACCCGAGGAGACCTGCAGTTGGGCGACATATTACCTCACCTTTGAGTGGCTCACGCCATTGTTGTGGAAAGGCATGCGGAAGGATATTGTCCTCGACGACCTACCCCAGCTGCCGTGGTATGACGAGCCGCTGCTTCTACTGGAAAGGATCAAGAAGGCGAGGGCCAAGGGCGTGACGACAGCCTGGACCCTCTTCTACTTCCTGCGCAGCGAGGTGACGCTCATGGCCTGCTACATTTCCAGTGCCTACGCCTGCGAGCTCATTGCGCCTTATGGCCTGTATCAGCTGCTGGCTTATCTTGCGGACCCCAAGGGCGCTCTTATCCGGCCGTGGCTCTGGCTGCTGCTCATGTTCTGCGGCCCGCTGTCGCGTTCTGTCTTGTTCCAGCAGTACGTCTTCACGTCGACTCGCTTGGTGGTGCGCCTAAGGTCCGCCCTGACTCAGGAGCTGTATCACCGGGCCATGGGTTCTATGGAGCTTGAGGAGGACATCTTCGCCCCCAAGGAGGACTCCGAAAAAGCCCAGCAGAAGAAGGATGGAAAGCCGGGCCGGTCCACCACCTCGGCCGGTCGCTTGGCCAACCTCATGGCCGCGGACGTCCAGGCCATCTTTGGCTCCCGAGATATCGTCATGGTCTCCATGGGTGTGTCCACAGGCACCATCATCGCCTTTGTTGGCCTCTACAAGATGCTCGGATGGCCCGCCCTCGTGGGCACGGCTATCCTGTTCCTCGCCGCGCCCATGTCCGTGATCGTGGCACAAATGATGGCCAGGCAGACCAGAAAGGCAAGAAGGGCGCAGGACTCTCGCATCTCGCTCGTGTCAGAGTACCTCGCCTCCATCCGTGCGGTCAAGTACTTTGCATGGGAGGATGCCATTATCAAAACCATTGAGGAAACACGTGCCAACGAGCAGCGGGATCTGTGGCGTGTGTCGCTCATCTATGTGGCCCTTAACCAGATCACCGCCCTCATGCCCTACATCTCCATGATTGCCATGTTCACACTCTACGTGGGCGTGTGCGGGCAGCCCCTGACAGCCGCCACGGCCTTCACGACGACCTATCTCGTCAAGACCATCCGTCGCAACGTGACACAGCTCGGCTTCATGTCGAGGAACATCACGAGCGCAATGATTGCCATTGGCCGTTTGGATCAGTACTTCAATACCACGACCCCACTGGAGGAGTACCCCGAAGGGGCTCTTGAGATCCAGGACGCTACGTTCAGGCGGAACAAGACGGCCTCGTTCCAGCTCAGGAACATATCGATTGGTTTCGTAGAGGGCGGCGTGAACGTTGTGTCGGGCGCCAGCGGCAGCGGCAAGACGACCTTGCTGCTGGCGATACTGGGAGAAACGATCAAAGAGAGCGGCACGATCACCCGACCCAAGGACGTCGCGTTTGCGTCACAAACGGCATGGCTCCAGAACGAAAGTATCAAGGACAACATCCTCTTCAATAGTGCCTTTGAGGCGGTGCGCTATAACAATGTCGTCAACGCATGCTGCCTGCCGGTCGACTTGAGGGAGATGGAAAGTGGTGACCAGACCGTCGTCGGCGAGAACGGTGCCTCCCTATCGGGAGGGCAGAAGGCCCGCGTGGCCCTGGCTAGGGCGCTGTACTCCAAGGCGCCGCTGCTCCTGCTCGACGACATCTTCTCGGCCCTCGATGCAAAGACTGCCGCTTCGCTCTGGGAGCGGTGTTTCTGCTCCGACTTGCTCAAGGGTCGGACCGTAGTTCTGGTGGCACAGCAGCCGTGGGTAGCCGCGCAAGCGGACGTTGTCGTGGCGTTGGAGAACGGCGCAATCAAGGACGTCCAACAGAACATCGGCGTAGCCAGGCACCCCGTCGCTGTCGCCAAGGACATTGAGGGCGAGATCACCGATGTGTCCGACAACTCGGATACGGAAGTCGAAACGCAAACAGATTCTCTCAACGATAGGGGTAAAGTCGCGGACGACAAGGGGGCCAAGGACGCGATGACTCAGGAAATGAATGCTAGCGGAAAGAGCGCCCGTTTGATGTGTAAGTGGTCTTGTTAGCATCTCGAAAGGTCCGACTGACATTGGCGAATAGTCTTCAAGTACATGACCTACTTCGGCGGCCCATGGTACGCCATATTCTGCATGTTCATGATGCTCATCTCTCAGCTTGCCGTAATGGGCGGCTCCCTCTGGCTCTCTGTTTGGGTAGAGGCATACAGCAAGGAGGTCGCCGTCGATATCGCCTTCTATCTCGGCATCTATGCCGCCTTCACCGTCGCCGAGTCGGTGCTCTACGCCGCCGTCTTCCTGGTGTTCGAGAATGGCGCGTGGCACGCCGCCCGCAAGCTGCACAACGACTTCATCCGCGCCGTCATGCGCGTCTCGCTGACGTGGTACAAGAAGACGCCCGTCGGCCGCATCATCAACCGCTTCTCTAGCGACATGTCGTCCCTCGACCTGACGGTAAGCCCGCAGCTCCGCGCGTTCCTCGAGAGCGCCATCTCGTTGGTGATTCGTCTCTTCGCAATCAGCTCCATCATGCCCATCTTCGTAATCCCTGCAGCTGTCACCTGCGCTATCGGTATCGTGGTGGGTGAGATCTACACGCGCACCGCAGTGACGATTAAGCGCCTGGTGGCGTCGTCGCAGTCGCCCATCTTCTCCCAGTTTGCGGATACGTTGGCCGGGCTGGCCATCATTCGTGCGAGGAGCGGCATGCCGCAGATGTTTGGCGACGCGTTGGCGGACAAGATGCGTGTCTGGTCGCGGGCGGCGGAGGCCAACTACAACTGTAACCGATGGGTGGCCATGCGTGTGGATGTGGTGACTGCTCTGGTCGGACTGAGCGCGGGCATCATCGCCGTGTCCAAGGCCGGTCTTGTGGGCGCCGGGCTCGTGGGCTTCTCCCTACAAAATGCTACTGGGTTGAGTCAGACTATCCTGCAACTGGTTCGCAGCATGAACGACCTTGAGGTTGAGCTGCAAAGTGTAAGTGACACCTAGGTGTAACGATGCATGGCTGTCCAAGCACTGACAAGAACTAGTTCGTTCGTATCAAGGAGTACGCCGGTCTCGAGGCCGAGGAGAAGGCAGACGACTCTTACCCCGAAGAGGGCGAGTACACAGATGACCCCTCACACACTGTGCCCAAGACATGGCCGTCAACCGGCGAGATTGAATTTCGCGACGTCACGATCCGATACGACGAGGACGGGCCCAACATCCTCACCGACGTCAACCTCAAGTTCAAGGCCGGGGAGAGAGTTGCCATCGTGGGCCGCACCGGCAGCGGCAAGTCTACGGTACGTTCCCGTCCTCCTTGTCATACTTGTCATACACCCCCTTCGGAAGCCACGCCGACTAACTCTCTGCCGTAGCTTGTGCTCTCCCTCCTGCGCTTCACGCACATAGTCTCGGGCCAGATCCTATACGACGGCATTGACATCACCAAGATCCCGCGCCGCCGCCTCCGCGAGGCGCTGACCATCATACCGCAGGAGGCCGTGCTCTTCAACGGAACGCTGCAGTCGAACCTCGACCCGACGGGCAAGATCGCCGCGCCGGTGCTCGAGAGGGCGCTGGAGTCGTGCCAGGGCATCGCGTCGTTCCAATACCACTCGGAGGTGGACGCCGACGCGGCGGCGGCGGCCACCGCGGCGTTGGAGCCGGACGCGTCGGGCCTGGCGCTCTCGACGACGGTCAACGCCAAGGGCGAGAACTTTTCTCACGGGCAGCGGCAGGTGCTCTCCCTGTGCCGCGCGCTAGTCCGGGGGAGCCGGCTGATGCTGCTGGACGAGGCGACAGCGAGCATGGACTACGAGACGGACAAGGGCATCCAGGAGGTGCTGCGGCGCGAGGTCGACGACGACCGCACGCTGGTGACGATCGCGCACAGGCTGCGGACGATCGCGGACTACGACACGGTGGTGGTCATGGGCGCCGGGCGGGTCGTCGAGGCGGGTCGGCCGGCGGAACTCTACAAGGCGAGGGGCGTCTTCTACGACATGGTGTATCACAGCGGCGAGAGGAGGGACCTGGAGGTGCTTTTCGGGGATGCGAAGCAGTAACGAGGCCGCATAGCTGCTCGGTGAGACAGAGAGTTGGAGGGGCGGAGAGGGGGAAGCGTGCACGGGGGACGGCTGCTTGTAAAGGGCCTGTCTCTCTGAGGTGATTGGAGACGGCTTGGGCTATGACGAATAGACGCGACGACGTATAGATTTAGACATTGGGTGGGAAGAGACTCTTTTAGATGAGTGGCTTAGCAGTTGCGTCTGGCAGCCCGAGACATGAAGAGCATATGAGGGGGAATTTCAATGTTGGTTTACCATGTCATCACAGCATTCAGAGAACGGTCCTCGTGATTCTACTATTTCGCGATTAGGTCATCCCCGCAAGACCCGCCGCCGGTGGCCGACGAGTATAACTATGTGGAGAGCACAAGGCAAGCGCTTTTCCCAACCAGAAACCCCATGGCTTTGTTTTTGCATGTCTCCCCCCCCACCCCTCGAATCACAAGATGCTGAGCCTGATATTCTTCTTCCTCCACCTGGACGCCTCGGAGTCCCAGAGCTGCTTCTGGAGCACGACGGCGTCGCCGTCGAAGACGACGCGTTCGGTGGCGGGGCTCTGCTCCTCGCCGCCGATGATGCCGGCGGAGGCCGCCTTGTCCGTCCACTCCATCATGACGAGGAAGGCATGGGTGTCGAGCAGGCTGTCGCGGCGCGGGTACTCCCTGAAGAGGCGGACGATCTCGCGGCGCACGTCGGGAGACGCGCACAGGCGGTACGAGGAGGCCAGGGGCCAGGTCAGGCCGTCCTCGATGGTGAAGACCTCGCCGCCGCCCGGGCCCGACTGCCGCTGGGCCGCCTGCTCCGTGAGGAACCGCCTGCTCAGGGTGGCGATGTCGCGGAAAGCCGGCGTCAGCCTCGCCGTCTCGGCGGCGTCGGTCCAGCCCGCGCTGCGCACCCCGATCCAGAGGCAGAGGTAGTGGATCCGCAGGTCGAGCGCCTTGAGGTACTCGGCCAGGTTCGCCGCCCTGCTGGCCTCGGCACTCATCGCGAGAGGGGCGAAGGCAGCGGCCCACGCGTCCAGATAGCGCATGAACGTCCGGATGCGCCTCGCGGACTCGGGCGAGTCGTACCCGCGCGGCGGTTGGTCCACCGCCGCCGCCTTCCCGGACGGCGAGGACCCCTTGACCTGGAAGTTGTTGTACAGGGGAGCGCGGTGCTCGACGTGGTGCCGGACCTGGTTCCACCACCAGTTGGCCCAATCGAGCGTCTCGAAGGCGGCTGGCATCTCCTCCACGGCGTACCGCGCCCGGCGCCCGCGGCAGCACCACGGCACGCGCTCGCGTGTCTCCTGCAGGCGGACGCCGTTCAGGGCCCAGAGCTGGAAGTTGAGGTGCCGGAAACCGTCGATGAGGGTGGCCGGCAACGAGACGAGCGGGTCGCCGCGCTGGTGGTGCAGGTGCTCGATGACGCGGACCCCGTAGTTGATGTGGACCAGCGCCGCGGCCGTGCGGCCCCGGACGCACTCGAAGGCCATAAACAGGATACACATGAACAGGGACCTCTCGGGGGAGACTGGCACCGAATTCAGCAGCCGCAGCGCCTTGCCGTAGTGCGACAGGGCGGCCAGGTGGGCATCGCCCTTGCCAAGGATGCGCTGCTCCCGCGTGGTGTTGCTGAAGACCGCCGCACCGATGGCCAGCGTCGCGTGCCGGACGGCCGGGTCGTTCCAGGAGAGCTGAGGGACGATGCGGGAGAGGAGCTCGCAGTGGAACAGGGCGCTGCTGTCTACGAAGCTCCGCCAGTACTCGAAGTGGTCCCTCTCGAGCTGGTCGGAGAAGACGAAGGATGCGTACTTCGGGCGCCGCGTCATCAGCCCGTCGCACTCGGCCCGGTCCGCCGCTGCCGCTAGCTTGGGGAGGAGGGGCCGGCTATTCTGGGCTATCGCGGTGGGTTGCGTCTTGCTGGCTGGGTAGCCAGGACAGTACCCTTGATACTTGAGGCATGTCGCGCAAGCCGGCTTGCCTTCATCACACTTCTTGCGGCGGTTCCTAGCGGCGGTGAGTTTTATGTTCCTTTACGGCACGCGCGCGCCGACACCATGAGGTCGTGTCGATGAACACAGGCTTACCTGCAGGTGGCGCACCCGGTGCGGACTTTGGGATTGCTGGCCCTGGTGAACCGCGGCCTCTGGTTGAGGATGAACCTCGTCGTCCCAGGCAAGCTGTCGCTGGCCATGCTAGTCCGCTCGGCGCAACCGAGAAACCGGGGGCGGTTTTAGGTAACTGTAGTGACTATGTTTCTCCTGGAGTCTCTGTTGTCGAGGAGAGTCGCGAGGTTCTCTGATGCGATGCTATGCGAAAGGGGGGTAGAGGGGGGATCCTGCATTTTCCCCGTGTTGCGAAAGTGGCCGGACTTTTTCGAAGCAGGATGCTTAACAAACTCTGGAGCTGAAGTAGGAAACTATGATATTTCTGATTCCAGCCTTGTCGAAATCATTTTCCTGCTGGATTGGTTGCTGCCTATTTGACGTGGGAGTAAGCAGTCAGAATAGGAATTCCCTCAGGCTGACCTGCCACAGCATGCATGCATGCATCCCCCCCCCTTGACCAGACCGGGTTAAGCTTGATAAGAAATCTCTGCGAAAGCAGGATACAAGCTTGATAACAAATCTCCGAGAAAGCAGGATACAAAGATCATAGCGCGCCCGGTCAGCGATGGGCCGGGGTATTGTTGCCGCTTCTGCCCTACGTTACCCAAGGTATTGTGTATCCGTAGTCAAGACGATATCAGCAATGGGCGAACCGTGCCAACTGCTCATCACCTTCAGATAATAGACACATGCCCCCCCAGTGGTGGCGCACAGGGACTGCCAATAGGGAGAAGGGATAAGGGGGATTTGGCAAACACCCGCGGAAAATCGTGGCGAATCTGACGGTTAATACGCCCCGTAGTCGACGGCTGGCTGGATGCAAGGCCGAAGACGGTACTTCTCCGCAGATCGGGTAAGCGGATTGATTACATTGACCACGCGGGCCCACCCCATGGCTGGATTCGAACAAAGACGGATAGAAGTCCGGGTATGCAATCGTGTGCGGCGTATGTGTCTGCTCCAACGACTCGGCTCATCGTACCTAATTGTACCAGTGTGCAGACAACATGTACCTCAATGATAGAGGTCTTTGGTTTTGTAAAGGTCAAAAACTTTTCATTGCTTCATTCGTAGCGTCTAATTCGCATATGTAGGGATGCTATGTACCTCGAAACGGAGTTGGTGCTTTCATCCAACTAACAATCCTGAGCTTCGTCCGCTCACCCTAGCCCTGGGAAGCTCTGTTTCCCCCTCAGCACATGCGTAGACATGTAATTCGCCCCCCCACGGCTGACCATTGTAACAGTGTACAGTAAGCAGCTTAACGTTGTGGACGCCGAGAGTCGGATGCTCCATTAACCGTGCTTAGACCTCAGAACATGGCGAGAGCAATCATGCCGGCGACAATAGCGATGCTGAAGCTTGTTGTGGCGGCATTGCTGCCAACGACGGCGGTGGGTGCCGTTGTCGGGACGCCAACGGTGGCATTAGTACCGGGGCGGTTAATGCCGGAACCGGAGCCGGAGCCGGAGCCGGAGCCACCGCCGGTTGTAGTGGCAGCGGCAGAAGACGCAGTGCCGTTAGCTTGCGAAGAAGCAGTGGTGGCGACAGTCGTGGTGGGCGAGGCAGAGGCAGAAGAAGACGAGCCGGTGCCTGCCTTGTCGCATGAAAGGTCGTACAGCGGCTTGGTGGTCAGAGTCGAGCCAATGACGCCGAAGCTGGGGTTGGGGGTGGTAGGAGAAGAGTCCTGGAAGGTGTACCACCAGACGTTGGTCTTGCCGAACATGGGGCAGCCGACGTCATCCCAGAACTTCTTGGCGTTCTCGAGCGAGGGGACGGCGGCGCCGACAGTCTTCCCGCTGACAGGCCAGCCGGTCTCCGTGACCCAGACAGGCTTGCCGCCGACGGCACCTTGGGTGGCACCCAAGGCATCGGCCCAGCGTTGCTTGCTGTCAGAAATATCATTGGGCTTGGTGTTCTCGAAGTAGGGGTAGGCATCCATTCCGATCCAGTCACAAGCGTCGATGACTGCCTTGTTGCTGCCATTAACCCAGGCAGTCCATGTGTCGACGTGGCCGAGGGGAGCAGTGCTCAGGGGCGAGCCCTTGATGACGTCTCGGACCTGGTCAAAGTACTTGACGAGAGTGCTGGGCTCGGCGCCAGAATATTCACCGTTGGCAATGCCGGTGGGCGAATGGCGGTAGAGATCCTCGCTACCGACGGAGATGCCGGCGACGAGGCCGTCGAGCTGGCTGCCGTACTTGGCAACCGTCTTCTTCAAGGCCTCGAGCTCGTTGGCGAAGGCGGCGTCGCCAGCGGAAGCCCAGAGGCCGAGCAAGAGGGTCGTCTTGGTAGAGATGGCGGCGGGGATAGCTGAGATAAGGTCGTTGGTAGTTCCACCCTGGACCATGGTGTAGAGACGAGCAGAGGTGAAGGCGCCGTTGGTGCCCTCGAGACTGGCTGCGGTCTTGAACTCGGACTCAAAGTCGGATTGTGTCTTGGGGCGGCCGTCGGTGAAGGTAGAACCGTAGTTGAAGCCTTGGAAGGCGGTAGCGGCGGCGGCGGCGTAGACAGCCGCCAGTGTGAGAGAAGTGCGCATGGCTGCGATGAGGGGATATGGTGTACTGGGCCAACCCAGGTCTTTTGGTTGTTTAGCAGAGAGGAGGAAATGCTCGGGGCTGTGGTTGAAGTGAAGAAATGTTGCGGTGCTGGTTGAAGAAGAGAACTGACAGTATAGCTGAAGAGGGATGGCGTATTAATACCTGAAAGGCTAAAAAAGTAAAAAGGCAAGCAGTTTCCAGGATGTGAACGAAGGGGGATGGATAGTATGCCGTAGGTACAAAGAAGGCGGGAGCTGTGAACAAGTGTGTCGACAACCTAGGTAATGAGGGGAGGTGAAAAAGAAGAAGTGAACAATGGCGGTTGATGGAGGGGTAAAAAGGAGAAGCTGTGGCAATGAGTGCCCATACACACAAGCAAGAAAGAGCGAGGCGCTCGGTCAAACCACATCACCCCTTCCTACTCCTTTGGACCCAGTGGCGGAACTCGTCTTGCCGCCCTCGTCACTTGTTTTTGTTTCTCATCCCAATGTGCACATGCCCTCGAAAAGCAAGTACGTAAGTAAGAAGTAGCCAGTCATTCCATATTAGTAGGCATTTGAACTACCTAGCTAGGTAAAGTACGATGATACACTACATTGGAGTCACTCTTGGTCCAATGAAGGAGTGGAGGGCGGTGCAGCAGCAGGTGGGAAAGGTGGGAAAGGTATGAAAACCTTGAAGAGTGGACGCGAAGAAAGGTCTCGAAGAGGCAATCGGCGGGTGGCTCCACATTCCCAGACTAGACAGTCAGGTACCAACCATGCCTTCCAGTATCATGCCTTCCAATATTGCAATATAGATACGGTGTATCCGTATGTACATCGTACAAGTACTACATAATGCTAGGCGCATAGTAACAGTACTTTGTAACGCATGTACTAGTAAAAAGGGTAAATAAACACCTTTACGGATACCAGCTTACCTATTCAGAAACCAGGTGTGTCCCGTGTCCACGTAATCGACCTAGTGTAGGTCAGGTTAGAGGTCACCATAGCTCCGTCTTGTTTGTTTGTCCGGCGATGCCGTGGCGCCCCTCCCCCGTATTTTCCCAGCAACCACCATGTCGCGGCTGAACGCTCCACCCTCCGCCCGTTCCCCAGCTGGATCCCACCCAAACTCCATGACATCCACGCTGGCCGGCCGGGGTTACATGTCTTCCTCCACAAGCGCATCCTTTGCAGATACGAGTTCTTAACAGGCTAGGTCCACCTTTTGATACTAATACTGTGTATATAGCTCGTTGCTTACGTCCGATCCGAGACTGTCCAAAAATACCAACAGACGGCCGAGGCAAATATATTAATGTGTCCTCACGGTGCGAGGTCATGACGTCGGTGAACGGGTTACCCACAGCACACAGCAGAGAGAATCGGCATGACAGCTGCAGGTACCAGGTAGGTCTTGCGTCTCATTCCTAGAAAACAATAAAAATAAAAATAAAAATAGACTAAAAAAAACATTGTCTGCATTCCAACGACCATCGTGGACACACACACACACACACACCTCGACACCTCTTCCGGACCAAGCCATGTTGCAGCCGTACAGATGCCGACTTGAGTCTAATCTTTCGAGAGACCATTGCGTGCTTGTCGAGATGGATCATCAGGACAGGGCAGAACAGCCCGAATCACAAACCACCATGTCCCCCGTCCATACCTGCTACCTACGATCATGTTCGGTAAGTTAGCCAGCCTACCTACATTATCTGGTAGGTACCTGACTGGCTAGGCAGGTTGGTTGTGTTATACGTAAGCGAAACGGGGGTTCATTGTCTCCAGTCAGCCACCCAACCATCAGCTGTCGCCAGCTGCGTGATTTGCTTGATGCTTGTTCCTTCCGTCTGCGTCCTTCGGGTCTGGTCAGCTTTGCCACGCGACCAGTCATTCATCAATGACTTGTCGCCAACGACACCAGCAAAAGGCAAAGGCCCCAAACAGGCATGGCAAAACTCAGGGAAATCCTGTCTCTCAATAAAAAAACGTAGGAAATGCTCATTCTACCAGGGTAGCAGCTGTGTTTCCGAGTCTAACAATGTCCCAGCTTCGCCTCTCCAGAGTCAGGCAGCACCAATTCAAGCAATGAGCTGACCGGGGGCCGCAAACCCAAGCTGTCCCGCACAAGTACGCCCAAAGTACGGTCCGGCTGCATCACTTGCAAAAAACGCCACGTCAAATGCGACGAGGCAAAACCCCACTGCTGTAACTGCCTCCAGAGTCAACGTCGGTGCGAGGGTTACCTTGTAGACCCCCCCAGGAAGAATACCTCGGCCCCTGCTCAAATCTGCTGGGACTCTAGACAAGTCGCCCGCCGAGCCCAAGCCCCATCACCAACGGCACAGACGAGGCTGGACACCAATTCCCGAGACTTTCCGCATGACGCTGGCCTGCTCTACTTCCAAGAGTTCGTCGACCTGCTCAGAGGGCCTTGGATGGGCGCGGCATCCGGTGGTGACTTGTGGCTGGTTATGTTGCCCCAACTTGCCCGCAACAACAGTACCCTTCGCTCTGCTGCCATGGCGATAGGCGCCCTGAGCGTTTGGTATCGCCAGTCCGAGTTCGCATCTCTTCGCGCCGTGACTGCGCCTGATCACCCGACTCGTCAAGGAGACGCCCATTATTTCCAGGCCGTCACCCACTACTGCGACTCGCTCAAGCTACAGAGAAGGCGCTCTTCCTTACAGGACGCCGTCTTCTTGTCGGTGCTTTTGCTCTTCTTCGAAACACTCCGCGGTGACCGAAAGGCTGCCTTGGACCATGTCAACCACGCCCTGTCTCTTCTGCTGGCCATCGTGACGGATGCAGATGCTGCTATCCATCTGTCCAGTTTGGCCCCCAATCCGAGACCCGTCATCGGCGCCGTAGCAGAGGTCTTTAACCAACTGGCCAGACAAGCTCGCACCGTCTTTCGAGCGAGAATACTCGATGGCCCCCCCCTTCCCGACTTTAAAAGGAGCTTAAGGAACAAGAAGCAAACCATGGAGTCTTTCCTGGTTCTCCTAAGCCAGATGAAGAGCGATTGTGCCACCGAGAGCACGGTGCCCCTCGTCTTCCGGAGTCTAGATGAGTTCGAGCAAACATGGCCTGTCGTGCGACGTCACCAGGCTGCGTTGAATTCGATAATAGAAGACGTCGTTCGCATCGCGGATATCAACGGCTCGCGTGATGACGATCCATTTTCGCACTTCCAGGTCGATCTTCTCGAAAACCCTCATATTAGGGAGTACTGTGCAAACTTCCAAAACTTCATGGACAGGTTGGACGCTGCATTTCAGCCCCTATTCAAAAACATCCTCTCATCCGATATCGAGTCGCCCAGCTACTTAAGAGCCGTCCTTCTACGCTTGGAGTTCTTGGGCGTTTACATTTTCAATAACGCAGCCTCGTTTCTCACAGTCGACTCTGTCACAGCTCTTTCGCCCTTGTTCCGCGAATTCCTCTCCCTCAGCCAGATCGCACTAACAACGGCCAAGGAGGAAGCCCGGAGAAACCCGGCAACCCAGATGTCTCTGCAACGCGGACTGGCATGGCACATCCTGTTCACATCGCTTTTCAGCCGCGACCCCGTCATCCGCGACGAGGCCGTCTGGATGCTGAGGGACTACCCGGGCCAGGACGGCCTGTGGAACACGCGCGCCCTCTACGCCCTGGCCTGGAGGAACCGTCACCTCGAGCGCCTAAATGCCTTTGAGGGCACGCCGGAAGAACAGTGGCAGCGGCTGTGGCGCCGGGAATTCATGTTCGAAAACGGCGGCGACCGGGTCGTGCTGCGGTACAAGGACAGGGACGAGTCGACGGGGGCGTGGCATCTGGTGGAGGAGACGGCCGAGATCCAGGGAGAGGGCGAGGCCGTGCAGTGGAAGCGACAACCCATCACGGGACACGGTGGGCTGCTACTTCTTGACCTGTACACGTCGTCGTCGCAAGACACGGGAACGTTCCTGCCGGCGTGGAAGTAAGCAGCAGGTACAGTCCCTCGAGGAGATCACGGGGGCAATGCCGGAGTCAAGGTTGGTTTTTCTAACTACGACCCAAGCAAGCTTTCTAAGATGCTAGCGTGATACCCCGATCAGACGAGAAGACAAAATGGAAAAGAGATGGAAAGAAAAACTAGACAAACAGGGCACAATATAACGCCTGATGAGGATGATTGTTTCGAGAAGCTTCTTGGTATTGCTCCATTTACATTCGACTTCGACATTCTTGCCACCTTCCGCCTGCAACCGTTTGATCGGCTGCCTATTGGTCCAGAGCCTGACTTTGGCACTACGAGCGTTTGTTAGCATGATGCTCTTGTAAAGGATAGGACAGAAGGAAAGGGGGGGGTTACCATCTCCCAGTAGACACCCTGTTTCCTTATGAGCTCATGGTGAGACCCCTTTTCCACCACCCTCCCCTCGCTGAATACGAAAATGACATCGGCGTTCTGGATGGTCGATAGCCTGTGGGCCACGGCCACCACGGTCCGTCCGTCGCGCGCCCTCTCGAACGCGGCTTGCACAATCTTCTCCGACTCCGAGTCTAGCGCCGACGTGGCCTCGTCTAGCAGCAGAAGCTTCGGCTCGCGGATCAGGGCACGCGCGATGGCGATACGCTGCTTCTGCCCGCCAGACATGGACACGCCCTTGGCGCCGACGTCGGTGTCGTAACCCTCGGGCAGAGACACGATGAAGTCGTGAATGAAGGCCTCGATGCACACCTCGTGGATCCTCTCGTCGGAGATGGAGCTGGGGTCCTCGATGCCGAAGAGAATGTTATCACGGACCGTCCCTCGGAACATGACGGGTTCCTGAGCGACGAGCGAGATGTTTTGGCGGTAGTCGTACACGTCGAGGTCGTGGATGTTGACGCCGTTGCAGAGGATTGACCCGTGGCCTTTGCCCAATTCGTAGAAACGTTCCAGGAGCGAGATGATGGTTGTCTTTCCGCATCCAGAGGGGCCTACAAAGGCTGCGTATTGCCCCTGTTCGATGGCGAGGTTCAGCCCCTCAAACACGATAACGTCACGCGTGGGATACTTGAAATGAACGTCTCGCAACTCGACCCGGACGCCGCCCTCGGCTCCGACTATTTCCTCACAGCCCCTTATCGCGGCTTGGCCAACGTCAGCAGACTCCCTGACATCGAGGATGCGGTCGGCTGCCGCCGCCGCCTGCGCGGCGCTAGGAGCCACGGCCAGGATCTGGCTGGCTGCCTCTGCACCCTGAATGATGGCCATGAAACAGACGAAAAACGCCTCCATGGAATACTCGCCACTGGCCAGGAGCCTGCCGCCGTACCAGAAGACCAGCGCCTGACACCCGAGACTTACGCTGTCTGCGAAGCCGTAGAGCACAGCCGTCCATTGCGCTTTGCGCCGCGCCGCCAGGATGTGTCCGCTAAGGAGCTTTTCGTATCGAGCATTAATGGTGGATTCCATGCCGAGGGAGGAGACCGTCCTGATGGCCCCGATGGCTTCAGTGGCGAACTGCGAGCTCTCCCCAAAGACTGCCATATTCATCTGGTCGAATTGCACCTCATGCCTGTACTTCCACAGCCCTGCACCCAACATGATTGGCATTGTGATGAACATGGCGACCAAGCCGAGCTTCCAGCCGAAGATTAGCGCGATGGCGACGCATCCGATGACGGTGAAGACGCCGGAAAGCAGCATCGCCAGGTTCAGCCCCAGTAGTTCCTCCAGTAACTTTGCATCGCCCGAGATTCTAGCGCTCAGAGCCCCATGAGAGTTCTTGTCGTCATCGAAGAAGCTGAGATGCTGATGCAGCATGTCGTTGAGGTATTGCTTCTTGTACGCAGCGCTGACGAAATATTGCAGACGCAGGCCAATCCAGCACTGGGCGACGTACGCCAGACCAACGCCCCCGGCGAGGGCAAACCACATCAGGCCCCAGAAATCCGACCGCCGCTTTAGGTCGTCTCCGGTCAGGAGAAACACGGAGAGTACCTTGGAGAAGAGCCACGCTTGTATGGGTGTGCCGGCTGCCGTCGCCATGCAGGACAAGATGACGGCCACGTACGAAGTCCAATTCGCTTTATGCTCGTAAAGGAGCTTTCCGAAGCTGCGTACCAGGCCACGAGACTTATGGGGTACATTATGCTCCAAAGTATCCATGAAGGCTGCCGTAGGGCGATGGTCTTGATCCGTGAACACCTTCTCCTCCATTTCCGAATCGAGCCCCGAGGCGGAAGCCTCCGACACCGACTTCTCTGGTGTAGACAGATGCAGCGCTTGAGCTCGCACCAAGGAGCTGTAGACGCTCGAAGGATCGCTCAAGAGGCTATGGTGGGTGCCCTGCTCGACAGCCTGCCCTCGTTGAAGTACGACAATGTTGTCAGCCTTCTTGATTGTTGATAGCCTGTGGGCGATAGTTATGGTGGTACGCCCATGAGTGACTCTGTCGAGCGCGGCCTGGACAATCTTTTCGCTTTTGGCATCAATTGCGCTAGTTGCTTCGTCGAGGATAATGATGCGAGGCTTCTTGATGATACTCCTGGCGATTGCGAGACGTTGCTTTTGACCGCCGGACAATTTGGCGCCTCCGTCACCAACACGCGTATCGTAACCCTGGAGGATCCGAATTAGCATCCTACAGAGATCAAATGCAACGTTATATCCGCTAATATGAACTTACATCGGGCAGTCTGCTGATGAACTCGTGGGCGTAAGATTCCTGGCAAGCGTCACGAACAAGCTCTCGCTTTACGGTTTCGGGCTCGTTCTCCCAATCGGTACCGATGAGGCCGTTTGCGACGTTGTTAAAGATGGTGTTGTTGAAAAGGAACGGCTCTTGCTGGACTAGGCCGACTTGAGCTCTCCACCACTTGAGGTCGAGATCCTCTATGTTTACACCACCAACGCTGATAGTTCCAGAGAGATTGGGCATAATGAGCGACTTCAACTCCTCGTTGACGCATTCCACCGTTTCGTCATGCGGCTTTTCGGATGCCTGATCATCAGCCACGCGGGGCAACGCGTGTTGCTCTCTCAGGGAATACCATCGCTCCAGCAAGCCAACGATTGTGCTCTTACCAGAGCCAGATGGACCAACGAGAGCTATGTTCTGGCCAGGCTGGATGCGGAAGTTCAGTGAGTTCAGGACCTTGACGCCGGCTCGGCTGGGATACTCGAATGTCACGTCCTCAAACACAATGTCCTCCGAGTCGATTTCAGGCTTGAGGGTGCCAGCAGGGGGCAGGGGGGCATCAATCACCGTGAAAAGCTCGCAAGCGGCAACCATGGCCTTGCTGACGGCGATGATTGGTGTTGAAATCCGCTCCAAGGAGGTGAGTATCATCATGACGGACATCAGCACCACGACGACCACACCGGCGTTGTCGAGAGCACCGGCGATATACCGCTGGGTGCCATACCAGAAAGCTAGACCAAACGCGCCGAAGACGCCGAAAAACTTGTCACCACGTCAGCACTCATGTTCGACTCGCATTTCAGGTGATTGAACCGCAAACTTACGATGAGGCCAAACTGAATCGCCACGACGGGGGCGGTCCTCTGAGCTCGTCTCATAGCTTCCTGCACCCAGCCCTCATAGCGGGAGATGATGTGGCTCTGCGCACCACAAGCCATGACCAGCCGGATACCCCCAAGGGCCTCGCTGGCGATGGCAGTGCCCTGTGCATCAGCCTCAGTTGTCGCAGTCTCTCCCTTGACGATGATGGGCATGACCACGCCCAGGACGATCAAAATGTACAGGATTAGTGACGAGGTCACCAAAGTGAGATCCCAACTCCAAATGAAGGCAATGACCAGGGCCGCCCAGATCGTACCGTTGAACTGCAGGAAGGTGCCCAGGCGATCGGAGATGCCGATCTGCAACACAGCCGACGTTCCAGTGATGGCAGTCGCCGCCGCCCCGGGGGGCATCGAGTCGATGACGTGAATAGGCTGCGCGAACAGAGACTGCAGGTAGTGCAGGCGGATGGCGGACGAGAGGCGGATGCCGATCATCCTGAAGCAGAACTTGTTGACGGCGTTGAGCGCCCAGCGGCCGACGAAGAGGGCCATGATGTAGAGGGCCTGGCGGTTGAGGATGCTGTCAAACTGGGCGCGGGAGACGGTGGCGTCGTCACTGAAGTAGCTGGTGAACTGGCTGACGAGCTGGCCGAAGATGATGTTCATGAGCGGCAGGGTCACGCCGGCGGCGACGGACGCCACCGAAGCGATCACGTACACGCAAAAGTCCCATTTCGTCGCGTAGGTGAAGACCCTAAGGTAATCCGTGAACTTTGGTTTCCGCACCGGCGTTGTCGTCGTTGTCGTCATCGCCGTCGCCATTGTGCCCTTATCCGGCGTCGAGGTCACGTCGGTCCGGAGCGGGCTTTCCGCCATAGCTATTTGGGAGGAGGCGTGTCGTCGTCGTCGTCGTCGTAGTCGTCGTTATCTTCGTGCCGTGAGATCTGCTGTTGAGGCCGGTCTGGTCTAAGTAGATCGTAGTACGCCCTTCCCCGTGTAAAGTTTTGACAGCTACCTTCTAGACCTTTTTTTGGGGGCAGAAGGAAGGGGGGTTACGCTTTACATTGGGGGGGGACCGTGGTGAGGGAGAGGGGGGAGAACGGCCGAATGTTTTCCTCGGAACCGGTTCGTTCATCGACTGGTGTTTTGACGTCAAGAGGTCCGACCTCGTGCTTCAAGGAGACAGGACGCTCTTGGGCCCTCTGCAGAAGTGCATGCAGCAACATCGAAACGAGGCACTGCTTTGAATGGGTTCGTGTAAGTGGAGGTCCGGGGAGCCCCGAGAACACTCGAAGATGAGACTGTGGGAAAGGGATGTGATGACAGGCAGATGCATATGCAGTGCAAAGGCTTACATGCGCTGGTTTCACCTTTTTTACCCTGATTTCCTTTCACATCAGAGGACCATCCCAGACTCTCGACGGCCATATGACCGGGGGTTTCTACCATTATTCCTTTTCAAATGGCTGCTTACACGACGTGTGTTCCCCTCCCCCCCAAGAACCATCGACGATATCTGCCCGCGCCACGAGAAGCCGTTGCATTAACGATTACCGCATTCGGACGGTTACCAGCCATGCGTTCGGGAGACCCGGGCGTGACCCACTGGTCCGGGCTCGGATCCCTGGGGGGCGCGGGGGTCCGGCCAATCAAGTGGGACCGTCTTGGTGTCCGAGTCTCCGTGTACTTCGGCGGCGCTACATGGAGATGCTGCCGCAGGTGGGCATGTACTGTTTGTAACCGATCTTGTGTTTTTTCTTTCCCTTTTTGGCCCTAGGAGGTGCAGCTGGGTGGAAGGCGGGCGTTTTGTTGTTCGCTATGCGTCTCGCGGCACCTTACCTGCGACATCATCCAGTATTGTGGCAGTGTCGCCGGACATCAAATACACCCGCGTCGCCGTAAACGACGCCCCCGCCCGCCCCCCTCTCTAGTCGTGACGCGGTGGGGGGAGGGGATGGTATCGATGGAAACCTGCTGCGTGTAAGGTCTTCGCGACTGCCCTTCCAAGGAGCTGGGCCGCGGGGGGGGGGGGGGGGGGGGCGGCATGATTCTTTTTTCTTCTTCTTTTGTTCTTGGGGCGTCCTTGCACGGTCGTGTCTCGTGCCCTCGAAGGCCGCGGGGCGTCCAGGCTGAGTTGGTTTTGGGCGTGTGAGCGGACGGTAAGAAGACACAACCAGTGTCTTTTTCTACTTTGAACATTAGAGCCACGTTTGCGCAAAGATTACATCCCCTACGTTCAATATGTTATGCTGGGTGAGTGATACGTCAAACCAGACGGAAAAGAAGCCAATTTGGATACCTAGCTGTCGAGCAAGTCATGTTTGAGGCACAAAGCCTTCTATGAAGAGCCGCCACACACATTTTCATGCCAAGCCTGATGGTGGGCTTGGAGGGGAGGGGGGGGGGATCTCGAACAGAGAATCACGTCACTGGTGTCAAGACGTCGCTGACAAAGCGGATCTATCAGCTAATTTTTTGTATTTTTAAATCTAGGACCGTGCTCGAATCCGGGCTACCCTAAGTCTGATGCAATACTCCGGAAGGGGATAGGACCGCGTTGATAACAAATGAAACGTTTCCATGGCGAGCGGCTTCCCTCAGCAGCACTCGTGCCCGACCTCGACCTGGGCCTTGCCGTAACCCTTGATGCCCTCCTTGCCGCCGTCCAGCTTCTTCGTGACTTCGGACTCGAAGCCGGCAGCAGCGTACTCTGCGCCGTCCCGGCCCAGGTTCTTGCCGTTCGACAGGCCGTACTCGGGGGTCGAGGAGCCGTTTGATGAGGGGCCGTTGGAGGTATCGTCACTCACGACAACTTTCTCAACGCCGTTCAGCACCGTGCGCGACTCGTCCTCGACGGAAGTGCCGTTTATCGTGTAGCCCGTGTCGCTGGCGTCGACGTACGCCTCGAGACCGGCACCCTCGCGGGGATACTCCTTCATGAGGTCCTTGTGCACCTTGAGGGCGGCGCACATGTCCTTGTGGGAGACGTCGTTCAGGAACACGCACTGGCCCAGGGGCGAGGGTACGGCGGCGCGCAGCTGGCCGTCGCGGGTCTTGAGGATGGCCGACGTCGCCTTGTCGAGCATGTCCTCGTCGAAGAGCGGGTGGTCCATGGAGAGACCGGCGCGGGAGAACAGGTTCAGAAGGCGGCGGTGCTCCTCGGAGGAGAGCTTGCCGAGCACGTGGGCGAGTGTTGCGGAGAAGGCCATGTCGATGGAAATGGCATGGCCGTGGCGCAGGGGCACGTCAGGGGAGAGCTCGTGAAGGGGGGACCAACTGCATACGGGTTAGCTCCCGGGCTCTCGCACGTAGCTTGGCTTTAGTGAGGGGCGGCTTACGTGTGGCCGTAGGCAATGACACGGTCTAACATGATTTCGTGCAGGTTGGGGGTCTCAAGCTTCAACATCTCGTGGATGCCGTTGCGGTTGATCTTGTCAGCGGCCTCTCTGACATCCTGGCTGGCGCCATCGCAGCGCCCGAAGCCGGTCTTGATGAGCTCCTCGCAAAAGCGGTCGAGCAGGTCGAACGTCTCAAGGTGCGCGCATGTGGAGATCTTGATCAGCTCGGCGAAGCCGTTGCGGATCTGGGCGGTGGGGAGTGTACGCAGGAATGTGAAGTCGAGGAAGGTGTGTGTGGGTGCGTGGTACGCGCCGAGACGGTTCTTGTAGTTGCCGTAGTTGACGGCGACCTTGATGGAAACGGAGGCGTCGATCAGGCCAATGACCGTAGTGGGAATGCGAATGAAGGGCGTGTTGCGGCGGTAGGCGGCGCATGCGAAGCTGAAGCTTGTAAGTAGGACGCCGAGGGGGGGGGGGGGGGCAAGGTTGGACGGGAGGCTAGTCAACATACCCAGCAACATCAGTGACGAGGCCACCGCCGACAACGAGAACAGGCTCCTTGCGGTAGACGCCAAACTCGGTCATGGAGTCGACGATGCTCAGCAGCGTCTCCATGGACTTGGCCTTCTCGCCAATCATGGTCTTGTGAATCTTGAGCTCGATGCTGTAGTGGTCAAAGTACTCCTTCATCTCCTTGCCGTAGAGGTTGAAGATGTTGAGGTCCATGACGGCTAGGCACCGCTTCCAGCGCGAGTAACAGTCGGCCAGCTGGCTGTTCTGCTTGTTGAAGACGCCATCGAGAAACTCAAAGTCATACTCGATCTTCTCGTAGCCGCAGACGGAGAACCCCTTGTTGGTGGGCTCTACCGTCGCCTTCATGTCTGAGGCCATCTTGAATGATGAGGTATAAGAAGAGGGGTGTTAGGGGTTGGGTGCTACGGGAAGGGGATAGAGAGGAATGGAGAGAGAGAATGATGGTTGTCGAGACGGAAAGATCTTGAGAGTTGTAGAGCAGTGTGTGAGTGAGGACGGGAAGGACAAAAACTCGTCGTCAAAGGTGCTTCCAACGCCAGGCTTTTGAATAAATCTTATGACCATGACGAGCATCAGGGCCACACCGCAGCCGAAGGTGACATTTGGAAGCTTCTCTCCGCAGTCATACACTCTAGTCCGCATCGAACTACCCAAGATGGTTGTCGACATCATCACTTGCGCCTCAAACGTTCGTCTAGGTCCACGCCTCGAAGTATTGACCGACTTTCTCCATCTAGGAGGGATCGAGTAGCAGCAGCATGAATTCCATCGCGGATGAAAACGAACGACGGGGGAAAATACAAGCAAGGCCAAGACCCATGTCTTGTTCCGAGCGTTTAGAGCCTCTAGGAGATGAGTCAAGGTACAGTCTTTTTTCCTCCTTTGACCGGCGGTCGAGGAAACGAAGGCAAGTACCCTAGACTCGTCATGACTCCAGATTTTGGTCGGATAATGGTGTTTTCGGTACAAAACGTCAGTCCTCGTCTAGTCTCCTCTCCTTGTCGAGTCTCTCTTGGGCACGCGGTTACTGTGTCGCGACAACGGGTACAATGGTAAGACAGGGCCATGAGATGCATCATTGACCAATGGACCCAATGGCAACCGTCCGGAGACGGTTACATTCTATGATGACCGATGCCAGTCTAGACTAGCTCTGCATGCCACGGGGTGGTGCCCCCTCTCGGTGTAATAAGGAACCAATGCGGCTTCGTGGACTAATGTATTGCGTGCTAAATTCGGAGCGCAATGCGTACGTTTCCGCCGCAGGCAAACGGGGCAGAAGCTAGAGAAATCCCATGTTTCACCGTGCGGGAAAAGGGGGAAAAAAAAGTCGATATCATCATCGATATGCGACTTCTGGGTGCAAGACGCGTAGTCTAGCGAAGCCGGGTTAGTCGCGAAGCCACCCAACAAGACGCAAACCGCCGGCGGACTCCCCAGCCCATTATGATCTCAGCTTTCCCAGTCGATGATCGACACGAATCGTAAGATCTAGATACCCCACCCCGCGCGGGGAAAGATGAGAGTGAGCAAGACCAGGGGGGGGCACCTAGATGGGTTTCCAGCGGGCCGCATATGGGGATGGATCACTGACACTTAGACAGCCCATCCACGTCGGTTGGTTGGCGAGGAGAAGAAGAGCAAGGAATACCAGCCCGGTCTGTACGTTGGTTCATCGTATCAGTCGAATCTTGCGGTGGGTACCGGTATGTGGAAACATGGATCGGATGAAAGCATAATGTTACCGAGATTGGGTTGGCGGTAGTCGCCCTCCCCTGGTTATGTGCTACCCGCAGCCTTGACGTTTTTACTCAACTAGACAGGCATTGAGAGAAAAGGTCCTAAAGAGGGATAGAGGGGTAGAGGGAGAGAGAGGGAAGGAAGAGTCTGCGTGGGTAACAATCTAGCCACATTATCGACACGGTTTGGTGAGGTATTGTTGGCGTCATGACTTGGAAGCGCCCAGCCCCGACGGTTGCTCACCGCGTGTCAGCACCCGATCGCGAAAGCACCTGACATGTACCCCCGTACCGCCGCATTTGGGTAGGCTACCCAGGTAGGTAGGTAGTCTTCCACCATCTTTTACCGTGTGAGGTACCGGGCTGGCGCCGGAAGTAAGGTCCGGTCTCCTTTACCCCGCCAAGATGTTCGGGGCTACGTACCTCTCTCTCCGCGTGGCGCCTTTACCTTTCTATGGCTGAGAGCTCCTTTCCCGCCAGTTTGTTTTTGCATTGGGATACTGTGCGAGAGGGCATTTGAATCGAGGTGTAGGAGCGTTTGCAAAAGGTCATTAGGTTCGTGGCCATGCCATTGCTCAGGGTGTTTTGCTTGCGGGGACGAGGTTGGCTGCTGGGTGGGATGCTGGGATTCCGTGCCGTCCATCGTGATGATAACTAGACCTTTCTCCTGCCTTTAGACGACTGCCCGACCCTTGCGTCTGGTTGATTTCCCTCTCTTATTGCTTCCCTCTTCCCAATTTCTTGTACTCGTAGTGACTCTTCCATTAGAGACACGTCAAACCAATTGAGACAAAGAAGAACTACTGAAAAAAAACTCAAAAAAAAACTCCGTGACACTGTTGCACCCGCAACGAATAGTACCTTCCCACAATATGCCTCACTTTGACGAAAGCAAGGCGTACGCCGCCCAAGAAGATGTCTTCTTCGACGACGGCCGTGAGATCGAGCTCTTGCACTTCGTTTACAGCCAGCCCGACCTCGACGAGATCAGGGGCTCCCCCGAGCGCGTCCTCAAGGCCATTGACGACTTTGGCCGCACCAAGAAGTATCTCATGAACGTCGGTGAGGACAAGGGCAAGATCGTGACGGATCTGATTGCTGAGGTCAAGCCCAAGATCATGGTGAGAGCCCCCCCCCCCCCGCACTTGTTTCTACTCTTTACTCCTCTGCTAACAGATTCTGTATGTCGCTGATTCATTCAGTGAAGGAAGGGAACTGCTATGGGTGTGACGCGTGACTCCCGCACTACCAGAGTTACCATGGGGCGGTGGAAACAACTGACGCCGCACTCATCATCTTTCGGTTAACAGATTTTCACGCTTTATATCCCACGCTGTCAAGATCTCGGGGCGTTACGCATGGGTCCCGGACAACTATTCTGCCCAGAGGCCGAAGGGACCTTCACTGTATCAAGAGTGATAAACGCCACCAGCCCCTTGTGGTGGCCTCATGCGACTTTGTGCTCCTTATTTTCAGTAAGGAGTGACCAAATATACATAAACGACTGAGTAGCCCCTAAATCGGGACTGGCTTGCACGATGGATCAAGAGCAGCCGCGCGTGCGCTACTCTGATGGTCATTTTATGAGGGAACGCTTGCCCTTCTACTCAATTATATCCCCGGCGTCCACCTAGTTGATGATTGAGGCTTGTTTTAGTTACTAATGTATTGCTATGGTGTTTAGATACGAAATCAGGACCTCCAGATGTTTCGACTAAACAGTATACAATTGTCCTATGCAGTGTAGGTGGTGGTGTCACTGCTACAGGACCGGAAATAATTTTGCGGCCTACTGCGAAACGCCCAAAAAATAGCATAGCTTCACCACGCTAAAACTTTAACCTGACCAGTTGTTTTGCCAGTTACCGGCGAGACAATGATTTGACCCCTGCCCCCGTTGGCGCAGGTTGCCGCAGTGGTCATTTGCTACTACTTAGTCCTTATCCTTAGAGAACTCTTTATCAATGATGATCGTCCCTCCTACGCTGTTCTGCTCACAGTCACGATTGAGTTTGTCCATCATCCGATGATTTGCGGCTTGGATCTGGGAGCCGTGAACCCCCCCCCCCCCCCCCCCCCCTGTATGGCCTTGAAGAACTTCATCTAATATCTGAACCGTCCCTTCTCCGCCAAACAGGTCGAATTGGGAGGCTACGTAGGCTACTCCTGCATCCTCTTCGGAGCCGCAGCCCGCGCCGCCGTCGCGGACGCGAAATACTACTCTCTCGAGCGCAACCCCGAGTTCGCCGCGGTGATTGGCTCCCTCGTCGACCTCGCCGGCCTCTCCGCCACCGTCAAAGTCGTCGTCGGCCCCAGCGACGCCTCCATCGCGCGCCTGCACGCCGCCGGCTCGCTCCCCAAGGTCGACCTCATGTTCCTGGACCACTACAAGCCCGCCTACACCACGGACCTGAAGCTCTGCGAGCAGATCGGCGTCGTCGGCCCCGGCTCCGTCCTCGCCGCCGACAACGTCATCAAGCCGGGCAACCCGCCGTACCTCGAGTACGTCCGCAGTTCGGTCGCCCAGAAGCGCGCTGCTGCCGCCCGGGACGCCGGCAAGACGAAGGGGCTGAGCGGGTGGCACGACGACCGCGCGGCGAAGCAGTACGAGAAGCGCGAGGGCGAGGAGAGGCTGGACTTGTCGCGCATCGGGAACCCGAACCTCGAGTACGAGAGCCGGCTGGTCAACAGCTTTGAGCCGACCGGCGTGCCTGTGAGTTCACGTCCTGCCGCCCACCGCCGCGATTTCTCCTTGCTGACCATGTCTACTCTAGGACGGCGTCGAAGTAACGAAATGTGTCGGCGAGGCCAAGGAATGAGGTATGAATCATGAACAATCATTTCCTGTAGCACGAGCGCCACCCGCCGAGGAATGCGATTGAGCGTACCTTGTGCAGGTCAGCAACGACGGTATAATAAGACAATCGGGCCATGCATGTAACGGAACAAATACAATTGCCTATTCAACAATTGCCGTATACAGTTAGCCGCCGTTCTAGCGCTCCATCATACTCCTTGTTCCCAAGAGACTGCTCCTCTGACGGCGTATTTCATAAAAGCAAAAGAAAAAAAAGGAAAAAAACAAGAAGAGCCCCATGAATGCTTGTTTGTTCCCAGAGTGTTCCAACAACGCCAAACTCAAAACAGTCTTCGCAACAGGGTAGCTGGTCTAGATTCTGAGCCACATTTTGGCGCGCTCGTACGTGTAAAAAGCCACTGCCGCCATTGGCACCACCTTGACATAGCCGATCGTCAGGCCCACAAAGAACCCCGGCAATCCCCTCTCTCGGAAAATCATGGCCGCCGTCTCGCTGATACGGAGTCGGTGGCCGTCCCCGACGGCGCCGCCGACCTGCATCCGCCGGCGAATGACCTCCAGAGGGTACGACGCAGTCTGAGATACGAGACCGGCAACACCGCCGGCGAGGAGCTCAGCCCAGGACCGCAGCGGCACGGCCTTCCCCGCGGGTGAGTCCTTTGGCTGAGCGATGGTCGTCCACTTGGCGACACTGGGGTGGCGGAGAAGGTCGCCCGCGGTATCGTGCGTGAGGAAGGACATGCCGGCGTAAGGAAGCATGCCCAGCAAAGTCGGCGTGAAGCCTCTGTAAAAGTTGATCAATCCCGAACGCGGCGCGATGGCGGCGACTGCGGAGGCGGCCGTCGCCTCGGTTGCCGGGGTACTCGCCGCTTTCGCCGCAGCGGAGGCCCGCACAAAACGCTCGTTATAAATCCGGCGGCAAATGTTGACTAATGAGGAGCCGCCGTGTTTTGTCTCGAAAGCCAAACGGACACGGATGACCTCGAGGGGGTATGTGAAGAAGACGGAAGTGACGCCAGCCATGGAACCGCTGATAAGCCGGCGCCAAGGCGTCTCTTGGTCCTTCCGGCGAATGACAAGGGAGCGTATTTGTTCATAGGCAAGGAACTTGATGCCGGCGTAGGGGAAGATTCGGATCAACGTCGCCGAGTGCCCTCTGAACAGCCCGGTGAGGCCTTCGTGGGAGCGGATGTCCTTCATTGCCGTCACAACGCCGAACCACGAGCCCGTGTACTTTGCGAACTGAGGGTTGCTCGCCTGGAAGAGAATCTTGACTCGATCGAGAGGTGCGACAACCGTTTTTGCCTGCAGTGTTGGCCCAGGTCAGAGAAGCTGCCATCGTAGGTAGGGTGTTGAGAGATATCTCTCCGTGGGGTTTCTACTTACTGCACAACCCGCCAGACCCCCCGCGACGCCGGACCGCCAGATGTAATCAAAGGTCCGCGTCTGCTTCCTCGTCGCTACCGTCTCGTCATCGTCGGTGGGGCGTACGGGAGGCGCCCTCGGGGGCATGTCCGGCTTCAGTCGCACAGCATCTCGTTGTTTGTTTGGTGCTATCTCCGACATGGGGGCATGTTCCAGCAGCGCTGACGGCATTCCCTGGTTAGCACGCTCGGCGGCGCTCGTTCGCTGATAATTTGTAGTGAGGGAAGAGCCCGGTGTTACCCGAGAAGCATTCCACTACTTGTGTTGTCGCGAGAGTACGGTACGGTTGACGGGTGGTTTGAGGTGTCGAATCGGAACAAGACAAGCAAAATGAAAAGGGAGCAAGCAAGCAAGCAGCCGTACTGGTACGCAAGCAGGGTAAGGATCGTGGGGTGGTGAACGTGGAGAAAGAGCAATGCGGGAAGGGATGGGAAAGGGTCTTAAGCCGAAATGCGATGGGGGCGGGACGTCATAAAGGCGAGGTTTTGAAAAAAGGCTCCCTCTCATTGCACTGTTATTCCTTTGGGGGGGGAAGCCGTGGGCCGTGGCGCACGAGCGGTAAATTGGGGGTGGGAGGGAACTTTCTTGGGGCCGCTGAGCCGGCGGGTGAGGCCCGCTGAGTTCTAGTACAGGGGTCTGGGCCACGAGCCGAGGATTACCGAGCGTCAACAACGGGCAAATCACTCGAACTCTTCAACGACGACTGACTGTCTCTTGTGTCTTAGTCAGCTTTTCTTTTTGGTCCGGAGTTAGACCCACGATACCCACGATACCTCCGCATCCTTCAATTGGGGGTCCCCGACACATTTTTACAGTCACACAGAAATAAGACGATTCTACACTGAGTATCCGTAGTCGTTGTAAGAAAACCAATCCCCGACCGCCTCCTCCCGCAGAGAACGCGCCAACGCAGGACCTCGGCACCAAAGTCAAGCCACCAAGTGGCACTTGGACAGGGCCGTGCCTCGGAACTCGTCTCCGGGGAAGACGCAGCTGCTATTTGTACGTGAATGTCCAGGTGTGCTTGCGCCCTGGTTTTAGCTAAATAAGCAAGCGTTCGGCTTGCCCTGCGCTGCGGCCTGCATGAACTTGCCGAGAACCCAATGGAGATCCCAGGCCAGCCATGGTTGAGACTCCTTTAGAACTTTTTGGGGGGCCGACGTAGCAGAAATGGTGGGACATGTCAATGTGGATGGCATGTCATCGGCCAGAATACGCACCATCGTGGAAACCCGAGCGTTGCGCTCTCAGATCCAAAAGAGCCTAGAGAGGTCTGTTGATAGCTCTGCGCAACATTCGGGTTGCAGACGAGTCCTGGTGAGATGGCGTCGCCGTCATAACGGATCGCACGCTTCTCACTAGTGGTCTTGTCATGTGATTTCAGGAACATGTCCTTGGCTTTGGTCTTGGACATCCGTGACTTATGTCTGTGCTGCAGCCGATGCATATTATCGCTGAAAATAAGACATAATGGAGAAAACCAGGAGGTCGGGTCTCGGTGCGTTGTGTGTGTCTCGACAGACCGGATCATACGTAGCGTAGGTAAACTACCTCCAGCGACAACTCGAGGTCGGACAGATGCATCACTCGCAGACGATGCCGTTGTTTATCAACAACAAGTCTCATGAGTTTTGTTGCTGGCTGAAAGTAGCAACAACTGGGTTAGGAATTGTGGACCTGAACTGTTGCAGTGTGCTCCGTACGGCCACCGATGACGCGCTGTTTCCGTATTATTGAACCCCGTGAGACAGAAGACAGGGAGAACCCCCGACGGCTGGCACAACTGTGGCGCCAGGTGGCAAGGGTGCACCTGACATGCATCGGCATCAGGACGCGGGCAAGGGTTGCAGCGTTCCGAGAGTGGATCCCCGGCATCGTGTTGACCTGGCAACATTGATTACGCGAAGCTCCATATCAACAAAACCCTCCGTCCGCTCTTGCCTGGCTTTTTGAGCTGCCAATCAACCCATCACAGTATCATGTAAATACACAACAACATAACGCACGACAAAACCTCATTCTACTAACCACCAGCAAGAACCCCGCGACCTCTTCTACTCCATATTCGTTTCCTTTTCCTCTGACTATCTCACACACACACACAAAATGGAGCCCCAATCGCCCCCTAAGCGTATCACGCGCTCCAGAGCTGCAAAAGCTGGCGAAACCACGACAAGCACAAAACCCACAAGAGTAGTTACTGCTGCGGCCAAGGCCAAGTCAAGTGCCACTGCTCCGACGCGATCCACTTCAGCCAAGAGGAAGACCCGAGCCGACGATGGCGAAGATGAAGAACACGATGGACAATCACAGCAGTCAGAAACAGCTGCTCGTCCTACAAGAGCAACAAGAGGCCGTCCAAAGAAGGTCACAGAGGAGCCTGCCGAACCAGCGGCTTCATCATCATCAAGCGGCGCGGCAGGCAAGGCCACGCGTGCACGAGCTGCTACTCGCAAGGTCTCCACCACGGAGCCTGCCGTCCCCAAAGAAGAGCCCGTGAAGCCTACTCGCGGTCGACCCAGAAAGACGGCAACTGCAGACGCTCCCGCCAAGGAGGAGGAGCCGGTGAAGAAGACAACGACGACTCGTACTCGCACAGCGTCGGTCACAACAGCAAAGCCCGCCGTCAAGAAGACGGTAACATTCCAAGAACCCGAAAAGGAAAACATCGCTCCTGACGCAAGCAAGAAGACGACCGAAAAGCCCACAACTGGCACCGGCCTCCGAGGCAGACCGGTACGAAAGCCTCCCGTTCCCAAGGCTCCTCGCATCATCAAGACGCCTGCCGCTGCCACCTCTGCCTCCAAGCCGGAGAAAACTCCTCTGAGCCCTAAGAAGGTCACACAGGTGTCTATGCCTCGCGACTGCTCCGATGACGAGTTGGCCGGTCCGGACACGCCCCCGAGACCCATGATGAAGAGCCCTGTGAAACCCCCTGCCAGCGCCCTTGCCTCCTCCAAGAACGTCAACCTGCTGCCCCTCGACAAGGCCCCCGAAACTAGGAATGCCGAGGACGACGAAAACAGCACCAAGTCAGAGGCTCAGGAGGACGAGGTCACCAACACCCTCGCCTCACCAGCCAAGAGACTGCCTACCTCTCCCTACAGAGATACAATGAAATCTCCGGCCAAGCGCGCCGAGGGCGTGTCACTGACGAAACTCGCTTCTTCCATGAACCCCAGTGCCGAAGATGGCTCCGCCTCGCCCTTGAAGGCTTCACTTCTTCATTCCCCTGCCAAGCGCCCGCAGTCTGCCATGAAGGCCTTCACTTTGCCCCCGGCCAATGAGGGAGAGAGGAAGATCTCCAACTTCAAGGCATCTCTACTTCAGTCACCGGCCAAGCGGCCGCTGTCGCCCATCAAGGGAATGAACATGAAGCCCTCGGAGGTTTCAGAGCAGACGCAACCCCCCGCCACGAAGTCTCTGCTTCTGTCGACACCGACAGCTCTGCGCCCGGTGAAGCGCTCATCCGAGAAGCTCATGGCCGAAGAGTCGAACGCTCACGACGACGACGGCGACGAAGAGCTGGACGAAGTCGCGGAAGCCATGCTCAACGAATCCATCCACCTGGAAGAGCCCATGCAATTCCCCGGCCGTCTTTCAGCTGTTCTTCCCAGGCATGCCGACCCTGTTCTGAAGAAGAACATGCCGGTTTTTGAGGCTGCCAAGGAGCAGGCGCAGCAAATGAAGCAGGACACATACTCTCAGCCAACCGGCCTGGTTCTGGAGTCCGATGTCTTCACGGACAACAACCTTGCCGATGATGCTGAGTTTGACGGAGAACCTATGATGGTTGACGAGGAGTCGTTTTTCAAGTCACAACCGCAAGAGGCTACACAGGCTACCTTCAATGCACCCAGCGGTCTTTTCGGTCTGCGTCAAAAGGACATGGACCCGTACAACAACATGGACTCTGATTCAGATGACGAGCTTGCCAATAGTCCCCGCGTTTCTGCAGCTCACAAATTGATTCCCGCAACTCCTACCCCCGCCAAGTCGAGAATCTCCAACGTCGGCTTTACCCCTTTGGCACAGCAGCTGAACGCCTGGTCGGCCGCCAGTCCCGTCAAGACACCCAGGCGCGCCGTCACCCCGGGGCGCTCGTTGGCTCGGGCACCTGAGGGACTTACTCCGGCTGCCGGGTCTCCTCGCGTGGAGGAATCTCCTCTTCGAAGCACTTACTTCGAGGATGAGATGACTGTCCGAGCGGACATGGATGCTCAGAACGAAATTGAGGCCGCTATTGATGCCGAAATCGAGGCTGCTGCAGACGCAGAGGACCCGGAGTTCGATGACCTCATGGTCACCGACGAAGATATGGCCCTGGCCGCTGAGGCAAACGAGATGTCTCTGCTGGAGCCTGAGGAGCTAGATGAGATCGTCAACACTTCCAACAGCTTTGACGACACTCTGTCAGAGGCGAGCCAAGAGTATGGTGACGAGAATGAGATGCCCGTTGATCCTGCCATGTTCAATAGCGACACTTCTGTCCCGCCCACCACTCCCAACCGAATCATTGCGCGCGAGTTCCATACCGTTTCCAAGGTTCCTCTCAAGGCCTCGGACGAGTCTACTCCGCGCCCCAAGAAGAAGCGTGCGGCCAGCATATCCCGACTTTCGGCCAGCCGCCCGAGCCTCAACAGAAGCGCCACTGTCATCTCCTACTCGCCCAGCCGGAAGCACAAGGCCGAGGAGGGGCAGGAGCAGGAGGACGAGGAGGAGAGCGAGGAAAACCAGCCTGATTTCGCGCCCGTAACACCGGCCAAGTCCGATGTCTGGTCGAGTCTGGGAACACCAGCTCGCACGCCTCGCAGAGACCTTAACCCCAGGCTCCTCCGCGGTGCCGTCGTTTTTGTCGATGTGCACACCACAGAGGGTGCGGACGCCAGTGGCATCTTTGTCGAGCTTCTCACTCAGATGGGAGCACGATGCGTCAAGACCTGGACATGGAACCCCAGCGCTACCAGCAGCTCGGATGCCGCCAAGATCGGCATTACCCATGTCGTGTTCAAGGATGGAGGCAAGCGTACGATGGAGAAGGTCAGAGAGTCCAACGGCGTGGTCCAATGCGTTGGTGTCAGCTGGGTCCTTGAGTAAGTGCCTCTCATCCCTTCAAAAGAATGCCGTGCTAACCAAACATCCAGCTGTGAGCGTGAGAACGAATGGCTCGATGAGACACCTTACTACATTGACACGTCGTTGGTTCCCCGAGGTGGCGCACGCCGCCGCAAGAGCATGGAACCGAGGGCTCTGGCGAACCAGAATGGCATGCTCGTTCCCACACCCGTCAAGGCTGGCCGTGAGGCCAGGACGGCGCCGAACACCCCCATGAACCGACGCGACAGCACCGTTTGGATGCACACGCCTTCAGACGAGGCCGAGGACGACGATGATGACTGGCAGGGACTGATCTCTCCTGTCCCCGCCACACCAGCACCGGAGGCGCTTGCTCGCTATGCTGCCGAGACGCCCTCCGGGTCGACGGAGTATGACTCGTCTCCGACTAAGGCGCTGTTGATGCAAACCTGCCCACCCAAACCAAACAACTACGCTCAGATGGGCGATGGCATCCTCAACAGGGACAAGGACGAGAGCGTCATGCAGCGCCTGATGGCGGCTCGTAGAAAGAGCTTGCAATTCGCTCCCAAGGTGGGAAGCCCGTTGGCCAAGGCCTGGAAATAGATACCTGTGTTTTTAGTTGTCTTTCATTCCCAGCTGTCAGTTGAGCAGCGCGGGCATTGCTTTTTATGGCGTTGGTTCGCAAACGGACACGGATTCAACGGTTGGGTACGGCGTTGCGGTTTATTATTAGATTGGTTGTACATGCGATAGCAACGTCGCTAGGTGTACAAGGAACTTGTTTCGAATTGTTGTTCCTCGCAAAGCCATTTTGATGGGGTGAATGAATATTGACTGTCCTCCCATGCTTGAAGCCCGTAAGATCCTTGCCCGTTTCTGGCAAGGTGATGCATGTTGCCGCGCGTTCCATTGATTGGACCAACCAACTCCCGGGCCAACTTGCCTCGGAGCCTTGATAAGGGATTCTATCGACACACATGAGACCAGAGCTTTGATACCTCGGTGGCGGGTGGCGAATATATCATTTCAGAGTCGCCCCTTGTTCAATTCACGCATGACCTTGCCATCGCGATGTATCCAAGCAGTCTGTTGTTGTTGTTAGCGAGCAGCGTGCTCGCGGCGCAGCCGGCCCTCGCTGAGGCCGGTTCGCAAAAGCCCCTCGGGGCTTTGCCAGATGCCAAAACGCCACGGCCGGCCGGGGCGGCAACCATTCCGTCGCGGCACGCGGCGAGGCTGAATTACTCGTCGCCGGCGCCGCACCTGTTCGCGTCGACGTACGGGCTCCTGCAGCAGTGGAGCAACACCGTGTTTCCGAACGGGCATACGATGGCGGCGGTGGAGATACCGGCCTTCACGCTGTTTTACCACGGGCGGATGGACGAGGAGGGGCCGCCGAGCCCCGAGTGGCTTGCCTTTGATATGTGAGTCCGGTTGCTTCCTCGCCTTGCTCGTGTGCTGCTTGGTCGTTTTTTTTTATGTGCGGGAGATTGAGACCAGGCTGCTCCGTGCGATAAGGGGTATTATATGATTTACAAATCATCCAAACGTCTCCTCCCTCGGGCGAACCATTGTATTGCAGGTCCCTGAGCTGACACGGCGAATCGCCGTAGAGAAATGGCCTACGGAATCATGGGAAGCACACGCCAGAGCTTCATGCTCACCTACCAGACCACGCGGCCCGTCAAGGCGCTCTACTTTGACGGCGAGTCCGCGACGCTGATGGGGCTCGGCCAGCTGGACACGCAAATGCTGCACCTCTACGGCAACGTCTCCGGGCCGCGGCGCGGAGACGGCCGCTGGCGCGGGCTGGAACCCGAGTACGAGAGGGCCATGGGGCTCTGCGACTGGCTGCTGGAGAGGCGGTTGAGGGGCGACGGGTGGGGGATCGAGGGCGTGGTGAGGATGAACGCGGGCTTCGAGATGATATGGTGCAACTTCGGACCCGGGAGCCTGAGGCTTGTCTCAAAGACGAACGTGACGGCGCCACAGACGAGGAAGATAAAGGGGAAGAGCGGAGGGGGGGTTAGTGATGGGGACGAAGAGGTTGGCGAGAGGAGCGAGCAGGACGGGGAGAAGGCCCCGACGTCGGCGTACCCCCTGCCGCCGCAACCGACCTTGACGGACCGCCCCGTGAGCCCGTCCCGCCCTCCGATGCCGCCCAACTGGCGCGGGATCATGGGCCCCGTCGAACGGGAGCCGTTCCTGCAGAGCCAGGGGTGGGGGTGGTTCTCGGCGGCGACGTGGCATTACGGATCGAACGGCGACGGCGCGGGGCGAGGGGAGACGAGGGCCCGGGTCCTGGGCTGCGGAATCGCGAGCTGGTACTCGAAGGACGCCTGGGGTTCCATCGTCGGCGAAGAGAGGGAGAGGCTGAACCTCACAGGGGAGGGGTACTGGGTCGGAGGCCAGGGTGGCGGCGGCGGCGGCGGCGGCGGCGGCGGCGACGACCCTAATTACTTCGGTTTATATCACTATAAGGAATATCTCACACGGGTTCCTCGTGGTACTCGTCCCCCCAGGGTGGACTTTTGTTCAATGTTAGTATCGGCGATGATAGTATTCTTCCATCAAAGCCATTGGATTCCTTGTTTATCGGTTGCCGGGGCCATGGGCTCGAAGGTCCAGGTCCAGTTCACCTGAAGCGTATCCATCACCTGAAGGGCGCGACGGCGGCGCAGGCGGCGGGCATGAGGTTGGAGACGGAGGTGATGCTGCGGGAGGCCGTCGCGGGCAGCGGTGGGTGCAGCGGGATGGACTGGGTCAGGACGATGGGGGAGATTGTGCAGCGGACGGCAGGCCAGCTGACGGCGCTCGAGCAGGGTGCTCGGTTCGGCGGCGACTGGGGCAACGGGACGGCGGTGGGGGAGTGGCTGTACCGGCTGCGAGGGCAGAGCCATAGGTTCCTCGTCTCGTCCCTCGAGTACCCGCACAAGGTGGACGCGGGGACGTGGGACGCGGCGGGCGCGCTCTTTGGCGAGACGTACTCGCTGTGCCGGTACCGGTACACGAGGCTGCTGGTGGGCGTGCCGCTGAGGGCGAGGGAGCGGGAGCTGAGGGAGGCGGTGGAGGAGGTCATGGGGAGCATCTGCGGGGTGCTGCTGGAGGTCGGCTTCGGGATCGAGGGGGCGTGGTACGACCTCGAGGAAGGGCGGCGGTCCGGGCTAGAGGCCAGGGCGGCGGGCTGGGCGGACGCCGTGCGGCGGCTGCGGGCGTGGGTGGGATGGGAGGGGGAGTTCATCCGGTGCGGCAGGGTGTGCGGGTGGGACGAGCGGTGCTACATCCCCATGTGGCCGCTGGTCAAGTCCATCTGGGGCGTCGGGAGGCCGCCACCGGAGTATGGGTCGGGTGGGAGTCGGGGACCTCCCAGGCACGGGGGAGGGGATCACACGGGGTCTGGTCGTGGCATACCGGGGCGAGGCCGCTGGTGGATGGGGAACGAGACGGACCTGTGGGAGCCGAAGTGCGTCAAGATGGAGGAAGTGATGCCGCGGCGGCGGGGCGATTAAGCACATGTCTGTTCAGTTTGAATAGGGAAGATGCATTCAGTTCCCGACCCGATCTATCGTTCGCCAGACGTACTGGTTCGGGATGGTAGGTTTACGATTGGCTTCCACATTCCCGGGAAACGCAGGTGTCGTTCGTTGGCAACAAAAAAAGAAAAGAAACAGAAAAGAAGAAACAAAAAGGTTACGAACAAACTTTACCGGTGCGGAATAGCCACAAACCTTCATGTGTGTTGGCTGGAGATGGCTAGCCTCGCAGGCTCGCGTGGACGGAACTCTCCTGTCGACGGGACTCAATGATGGGATCTTGGTCTCGATCTTCCGAAGAAGCCACATCTTGGTACTCCCTTTTTCGCCGTAGCTGGCGAAGGGCTCGGCGTGGAGAGGTCGCGCGCGATCATGGGCATGAATGGCGGATGTGCACACCGTTATCCCCGAGAGCCGACGCAATAGACGGGGCCACGGCGATTTCACAAGGCACTCTTGCTTCTTCCAAGACGTGACCAAACTAATGAACTGGTACTGTACTATGGAGCGGTGTTGTTTGTTATTCCTGGCCTGTCGGGTAATGTTCTAATGCAGACTGGACGATGATGAAGTTGACAAAGAGGGTTTTGGTCCCCTCCGGGCATGATGGCTGTTCCCTCCCATACAGCCGAGGTAACCGAGAGTACCCGTAGACCGTCTAATCAACGTGCCACAGGCGAGCAGCTTCATCGTCCGGAGTCGAAAGCGGAACAGTTTAAGTTGTGCAACGATGAACTATCAGATGAGATACCGGATGAATGCGTAAAGGATGCCGACAGACAGACAGACACACCGGTCATGGGGCCGGAAAGCAGAAAGCAAAGGTCTCACAAAAGCGACAGTTTGGGACGAGCAATCAACCAGACATGCAAATGCAATTGGGGGCAGACAGACATTGAAGCCCAACTAAAATGGGCATATTGTACATCGTATCCGTACATCAGCACAACCGCGGCTGGCTGACGGAGTAAACTGCGGTGTGGGCACATCATCTCGCTTGGGGGGCCGGCGTCAGATGATAGTCGGGGCAAACCAGGAAAATATTCATCTAGTCTTTATTGACTAGCGGCTGTTTGTTCAGATTACGGAGTACGGAAGTGTACACTAAACTACGAGGTGGTTCCGTACTGTATTAGTCAATACGTTTGTCGGGTGCACCCCTGCCTAGTAGTCTGGGACTGATGGCGATGCGCAGCCCCCCTCCTTGGTCTCCACGCAGAAGCAAGGGTCCGAATCCAAGTTATCCGTACGGATGCTAAACTAGGTGCACTAGGTAGGGTGACTAGTTACAACTCAAAAAGGGCGTTTCACAGGTCCCCGCGCGACGTCCCAACGACGCAACGTCCAATGCGCAGCTCATCATCATAAACCACAAATAGTAATAAAGGGGGGGGTGGGGTGGGGTGATGTGACGGTCCCCCCTGCACGTGACAGGATTTGCTTGCCTGCCTTGAATAATAGGAGAAGAAGACAAGTATACTGCACGGAGTATCCGTACTGGGTAGTTGTGTACGGAAATTAATGTGTGTCTTTCAGACTTGGCCGTCGCTCTGTACCGGTATGTGTGTGAGACGAGATGCAAGACGGTAAGCTTGTTTCGGCTGGGTTGTCCTGACAGGGAACGTGTCGTGTCTATAGTAGTTTATCCGTACATGAGATGATGGATGGGTGCTGTCCGCGGACTCCCCGCCCAGGAATACCTTTCTCCAAACGGATCGTCCTCTTTTGCAACACGTCCTTTACCACGTCGGACGGGAGATTGATTGAATCACGCTGGGGAATCGAGTCACGTCGTCCCCCTGGAAGTGGCAATCTTCAATGGAACCCCGTCCGTCATGTCCCCAGGTAAGTAAGGTACTGTACGTACGGTACGGCTACTTCGCGTACTATGTATGGTATCCGCATCCCCCCCCCATACTACATAACTTCTCTGTTGATGAATATATTCCGCCTTTATAGTGATGTCGGCGTATCTGGAGGGGGTTAACTTGGCAGGGAGCTTTTAGTGTACATCGCGCTTGCCCCTGCCACGTTGTACTACATAAATAAATCACGTGAGGAAGGATTCTTCCTCGTGCAAGGCAGGCAAGGCAGGCAAGGCAGGCAAGGCAGGCAAGGCAGGCAAGGCAGGCAAGGCAGGCAAGGCAGGCAAGGCAGGCGAGGCAGGCCGACTTCTTTTCTGGCTGGTCATCTGCTCGTATTCCTAACTGGGAAACGCTTGGCGACGCTTCTCGTACAAGGCGGGCAGAGCTGAAGCCACACTAGTTAATGCTGCAGGGATCACGACCAGGGGTCATGACTGTTGACCCTGTCACAGCCGTATGGGGAACTTTCTAGCTTTTCCAGCTCCTGTCACAAACACACAAAAAGGTGGTAACCAATGTTTTACGTTGCCGCAAATCCGGGCAGAAACAACCCAGATCCTCACGGCCCCGTCCGAAGAGCTGGGCTACCTACATACTCCGTACCTAGGTAGCCGAGCTGTGTTGTTGTTGCGACAGGCATCCAATCCGGTCCATCTATTCATCCAATCCAATCCAATCCGTCCAATCCGTCCATTCATCCATCCATTCATCCAACAGCCGCCGACACTGTTGGCGGCCGAGCACGCACAATTGTCATCCAACCTGACTGGGGTGCCCTTCCATCTCCTTTTTCTCCATATGCCTTCTTTTTGTATTTCATCTTGTTGTTGCTGTTGCCGCAACTTTCCCCGTTTCCTTTCTTTGTTCTCTTTGCTCCCTTTTTCGTCGTCTTGTTCTCCCTCCCCGCCGCCCGTTTCGTTGTTGTGAGAGGAAGCCATGCCAGTCGTCGTCTCCACGCTCATTGACTGATTATTTCTTCTTGTTTGTTGCACCCGACACGCCTCCGACCACCTCTCTCTCTCTCTCTCTCGCTATCCGTCCTTCGTCCTCCTCCTCCTCCTCCTCCTCCTCCCTCTCACTCTCTCCCTCCTCTCCGCCTCTCCCTCCCCCAGTATGCACCTTGGCTCTCGACTCCGCTACTCGTTGCTAGGCCATGAGAATGGTCGTCTAGTCAAGGCTGCAGCCCAGCCGCTGCTGCGGTCTCGGCTGTTGGTGTCCGGTCTGGCTTCGCGCTTCGCTAACCCTCGTTTCGTCTTCAGCTTGGCCGCCCTCGCTGTCCTCGGCGCTAAATTCATCCACATCGGCAGCCACGCCTCTGCTATACCGACGGTGCAACTGGTGCGATGGGGCTACTCCTTTTTTGCCCAGGACATGTTCTTGCTGATCATCCTGCGGCTGTTGCTCGGAGGAGGATCGCTCTCGTCTGCCCGTAGCGAAGGCTTCCTGCGCCGTATGGCGGCCGTGACGAGCTGGTTCTTCGTCATTTTCGTCATTACCCTGAACATCATCCACATCTGCTTCTTTGCCGTCGCCCGCTCAGAGATCCACTGGCAAAACATAGGGGTTGCAGGTGACGCCTCCGGTCGCGCTCTTTTGCTGACCGGCATGGTCTCATCCGTTCTGGTCGTCGCCGCCATGATCCTGATTGCCTGGCCCTTGAAAGACTTGTTGTTCATCGCCGTCGGCCTTTTGGCAGATGTCGTTTGCTGGCTCCTCGCCTCTGTAGCGCGCCGCTTCCGCCTCCGATCCCAATACCCCCCCGCCGCGACATACCTCAGCGTCCCTCAGCAGGATGCTGAACACGGTATCAAAGAGGAGCTTGACGTCGAACAGAAGACCTTCGGCTTCCCCGGTGGCTGGGAGGATATCAAGAACTGGCCTTGGGTACGCATCTTTTGGATCGCAGCCTACGCTCTGGCTTTTGCTGCCCTGCTCGCACAGGCCATCCTGTACATTCTGCGTCCTCACGAGAGCTCTCTGACTTTCATGTCCTGGACCCCGGCGCTTCTTCCCTTTGTTGACTTCAAGAACTCGTCTCCGAGCCTGGAAGAACTCGTTCCCCACTACAACTCCGGCATCAACCACAACTGGGATAAACGGACAGCCCTCACCGATCCGATTCCCCTCTCCTGGCTGCCCAAGGATTCTGTCCCCCGGGGTTTCGAGGACTGGTACAACAATAAACCACACTACAATGCGGCGGCAGACCCCCTCAAGATTTCGAACCTCGACAGTAAACTGCTTCCTGAACTGCGCAACCTCAAAGACACGGTGCCGATACGGCATATCGTGACCATCGTGCTGGAAAGCACGAGGAAGGACCTGTTCCCCATCAAAAACGATGGCGTCAACAAAGCACGCCTGCAAGCCTCGTGGGAAGACGGCAAGATGCCCGACGAGGCACTTGAGCGCCTCAGGACCCTGACTCCGGTTGCCAGATTCTTGACTGGCGACCACGACGACGGCTTTGACCACGGGAGTGAAGAGAAGAAGAGCAGAGGCGGCCTGAACTTTAACGACGCATACACGACCTCGACCTACACCATCAAGAGTCTCGTAGGAACCCTCTGCGGTATATCACCTCTGGTTGCCGACTTCAACCTCGAGTACGAACACCACATTTACCAGCCGTGTTTGCCACAAGTCCTCGACGTCCTCAACTCTCTCGACCAAAGCGACGCCCCCGGTTTTACCCCATACAAGTGGAAATCATCATTCATGCAGTCCGTGACGATGACCTTTGACAACTACGAGAAACTATTGCCCAAAATGGGCTTCCCCGTAGACAGCCTAATAGGCAGCGAATATCTGAGGAGCCCCGCCGCCAAATTCGGTCGAGTCAACCTGAAAGACGTCAACTATTTCGGCATGCAGGAGACACCGCTCGAAGACTACATGCGGGACCAGTTCGAGACGGCCAAGAAGACCAACGAGCGAGTCTACATCTCGCACCTCACGAGCACGACTCACCACCCGTATGGAATACCCGCAGACGAGAAGTACGTGCCTCTGGGGAGGGGCCTGGACGATCTCTCGCACTACATCAACGCCATCGGATACGACGACCGCTGGCTCGGCAATATAACCAACATGCTGGACGACCTCGGCGTGGCCAACGAGACGCTCTTGATTCTGGCGGGAGATCACGGCCTGTCGATTCCGGAAAACGACATTCTCGCCTCGTACTACAACCCCAACATCGCCAGCAACCACATCCCGTTGGTCGTGTCCCACCCCAGCCTTCCCCCCATTACCATCGACGACGCCGTATCAGCTCAGCAGATCCTACCGACAATACTAGACCTCCTCATCGAGACGGGCTCGCTATCGAAGCCTGCGACCGCCGCAGCCAGCGACCTCCTTAAGAACTACGAGGGGCAATCACTCATCCGGCCTGTGAAGAAGTCGCGGCCGGGAACGGCCTACGAAGGCTCCCCACTACCACCGGTCGAGATAGGGAACTGGCACTTTACCGTCATCAACCCGGGCCGCGCCATGGTCGGCGTCCGCGACGCGCGCCGCAAGTCATGGAGGCTGGTGGTCCCCGTGGTGGACAACATCGAATGGCGCTTCACGGACGTCGAGAAGGACCCGCGCGACATGGATCCGGTGCTCGGGTTCGAGCTTACCGACTTCCTCGCCAAGGTCGAAGCGACCTACGGCCCGGAACCTGCGCGCTGGGTCGAGGAGGCGGCCTTCATAACGCGGTGGTGGGTGGAGGAGAACAGCAAACGGTGGCAGTACGGGCCGAACGCACCATATTAGGGGACAAACAGATACTTGATCCCGTGCTTTTTATGTATGTAGTCTTAGTAACGCCTTTCTAAGAAACAAATATTTCCCAGTGTGTTGAGCTCTCATAGAATAACCGGCCGTCTCTCAACCCCGCGAATGCGCAAAGAGAAAACGGCTACCTTGCTTTTCAATTTCATTTCATTCTTTTGCATATGATCCGGTGCCATAGTTGGGATCGGAGATTCGTCAGTGGAAAGGTTTCACGTTTAGGGACGGCGACTTCTTGTTTTTCGCGAGTCCGTTTGACATGGGTGGTGTTATGCAATTGGCGGTCTGACTCGACTTGACCTGCATCTTTAGCAAACGGAACCCAGGGGTAAGTAAGTAAGAAGCCCTCCCCCCTGTCTCGCTAAAAATAAATAAGAAGCGATGTGACTCTGGTGAGTGGGTTGGAAAAGGTTGGTAACCGAAAAAGAAGAGACAAGAAAAGAAAGGCGTATGGAAGAAGAAAAGAAGAAAAGCAAACCCCAGGGGGGTGAAGCAAACCAATAGCCTGCTGAAGAAACACTTTTTTTGATTCGCGTTCCAGAAGGGACACACGTCTGGGGATTGAGAAGTATTTCACCTGGGAAGATTTAAGATTTAAGCCGTGAAGAAGTGAAGTTTGGGGAGTAATGTCCTCCCCCCCCACGTGTGGTTCGTTGGACTGTTGTGTAGGCGGAACAGCTCCATGTCTTTACTGCTTAATCAACACCATCAGTTTACTTGCGAGATGGCCATCCGTCCGTCATCACGCACGGCGGCGGGGGTGGCCAGCAGTCGATGAGCAGGTCGATAGCCCACGGCGAATCTAAAAGATTTGCGAGACGTATTTGCTTGCTGCCGTAGTAGCTCATCGTACCGCCCGCCGGTCACCAGGGAGGTACATGTCGACCTGGGCGATGACGGTGGCGGCTCTGTAGATTAGTCCAAGACAGAAGCAGATTGATATACAATGAGCACGCAACGGGGGGGAGAAACGTGCAGTATCGCCCATCTTTGGTGGTTACAATGACTTGGGGCCTGATCGGCACCGCCGATATCATTTGACACTTCGGATAAGGACCAATAACGCAGACTAAGCACCAGCCATAAGTGCTATTTAAACTTAAATTATAGTACACTTGGCTTAGAACAGGAGGATACAGCATGGTTATATTCCTAATCTAGTAAATTTTAGGCTTTAATAGCTGTTATAGGTGGTGCTTAGTCTGCGTTATCGGTCCTTATCCAAAGTGTCAAATGATATCGGCGGTGCCGATCAGGCCCTTGGTATTGATTGTCTGAGACACTATCCGTATCTTCATGCATGCTAGACTGAGACGCCAGGTCCGATAGGCTCGCCCGGAGAGGCAAGGCGGGCCAATTATCTCCATGTCTGAAGCCCCAGATTGGGGCTAGTGCGGGAAATTGCCGGTTTCTTGGCAACCAATTGAGGACGGCTGAGATCTGATGGCGAGATTGGCTGGCGTTTTGTTTCCTCAGGTCCGACAGATCTGCTGCAAGTCCATCAAAGCCGGCACCGACCGAGTCGTGTGGGGCCGGAAGAATGACTCCACCACACGCCGATAGCGCCGCCGTGCATGTGTTCAACCTTATCGCGGTTGGCAGCAAAAAAGACTCCTGAGTGGCTAACCTGGCGCGTTTGCCCCGTACCGCCGATAGCGCCGTGCATGACTACGAGACCTCCGCTATCTTATCATTGACCCTTCCCATTGTTATCCCATCTCTTGACGTTGTTGGCCCAGGCTCCATCCATCCAGCTCGTTCGCCTCAACTCGCCGTGTTCCATGTCTTATTGCCCCGTACTGCCAAGGCCCGAGCTGTCACTCCGAGCTCTCTATTCAAGACTACCGAAGACCTGGGGTAATGTCCGAGGGGGGCTCCGAGGGCAATCATTCCACCAATGGCCTACGCCGCACTAGACAAAGGAGGGGATGTCTCACCTGTCGGCATAGGTGTGTGCAAAGCCGAAAGGGGCAACCCCCCCCCCCCCGGTCTAGAAAGTAGCTGATGCCGTACTCAAAGGAAGAAGAAGTGTCATCAAGAGTACCCCATTTGCAATCATTGCTCCCGCTTAAACCTTGTCTGCCGGTGGGAAGGACCCCGCGATCTGGAACCTGACGCACCCAAGTCACGCAAGATACCGGTACGCAGACCCGGGAGTTCGGACGGTATACAGTGCCCCGACCTCGGGCACCTCGGCATCTACGACTCGCTCGCCTGTGGCTCTGCCATCAGCACTGATGCACGCGGAAGCTCGGGCGATATCGTCGGCAGCCGCCGGATGATGCTCCGCTACTATACAGCCACCTTGGTGTTCATGTTGACAAACAATGTGCACAACAACTGCTTCTTGTCAGGTAACGATGATGCCATACTGCCCTCTGTACTCGGCGGATGCTGACGTTGGGTCTCTACCCCGGCAAGTCTTACTCCCGATGGCGTTCGAGTCCCCGGCGCTCATGTACGCTCTGGCTGCTAGCTCTTCGGCGCACCTAGCGCTCCGGGACGAAGACTTTCAAGTCGCGGCGCTCCAGCATAACGGCCTAGCCCTGGCGGAGCTCAAGGCGTCCATGTCCAGGGGCACTCTTACCCGGGAGATGAGGCTCGCCGCCACGTTGGTGCTCTGCTCGATGGAGTCCATATCCTGCGGGACGGACAACTGGGTCCACCACCTCTCTGGAGCCGCGGCATGCCTTGAGGACCACAAGAGGGACAAGGACCGACAGACGCTCGGAGGCTGCCAACCTCGGGCAGAAGAGGACCCCAAAAGCACGCTCCTGCGGTGCTACGAGGGGCGCTGGCTTCTTCGAAACTTTGCATATCATGACATAATCGCGAGCGTCTCGCTTGATCGCAGGCCCATGATCGGCACAGACTACTGGGCATCCGGCTCCGGCGATGTAGCCGACCCCTATTTCGGGCTTGCCGCTCGTGTCATCTACCTCATCGGCGAGATCAGCGTCCTCAATGCCGATTTTGCGGCTGCCGCCCCATGCCCCCCCGCAGGCACATCTCCAGCGGCGGACTTCAGCGGCAGGGCTCGGAGCATCGAGACGCAACTCCTGAACTGGGAGTGCCCTGCCGGGCCTGGCGACCCGTCCCTCGTCTCTCTCGCCGAAGCCTACCGGCACGGGGCTCTCATCCACCTTTACCGAGTCCTCAGGAGGCATATCCCGTATCATTCGGACCCGCTGCGCCAGAAGACGCGCAAGTCGGTGGATGCCATCTGCGCCGCCTCCAGCTCCATGCCAAGGGGGTGCTACGCCGAGACGTCGATGATATTTCCCCTGTTCATGGCGGGCGGCGAGGCGGAGACGACGGGGCATATCGAGGTCATCAGGGAAGGGCTCTGCTCTCTGAACAGCCATCGAAGGTTCCGCAACGCGGACGCCTGCGTCGACGTCCTCGACGAGGTCTGGAGGCTGGCGGCGGCCGGAACCCGCAAGCAGAACTCGGAAAAGGTGGACTGGCTGGATATCACAAAGTCTCGCAACTGGAAGCTGGCGCTCTTCTAGCTCGATCACTCACTCTGCCCCCTTCGTCTGCTTCTCTTCCGGTTCCCTTTGTCTGTTTGGTCTGCAGCAACATTGTTTGTGCAAGGTGCACTGATGTGTCCGATTCTTACATCTCATTGATCACGCTACAGAGAATAAAGATTCCTGATATCTCTCAAGTGGAATCACGCTTTAACAAATATTTTCCTCCTTTTTCTTTCTTTTTCTTCTTTTTTTTTTCTTTTTCCATTTGGGAATTCGGTCGTAACCCCCCCCCCTCAACTAGAGCCGAGAGGCGCCGCTGGTGCTTGTCAACGCTTCTATAACCTCGGCAGCAGCACGCTCTCCGCTCCGGACTGCACCCTCCATGTAGCCCTTCCACTCGCCTGCCGTTTCCGTGCCTGCGAAATGCAAATCTCCGCAAGACTTCCGGAGGCTGTCCCCACCCAGTGTGTCGAGCACGCCGGGCGCGAGGGACGTGCAAGGGCAGCCCCAGCCGGACCACTCGTCCTTTACCCACTCGTACGTGCTCATCCGGACAAACCGGCTCTGGATGTCCTCGCAGCCGAACAGCTGCGCCAGCTGGGCAAGGAGGCTCTTCTCCCTGGCCGGCGCGTCAAGCGCCGCCCACGCTCTGCCGCGGTCGCCCGCCATGAAACACGTCAAGACGTGTTTCGAGTCGGCGGGCACGGAGGTGTCGCGGATCACGCTGGCAGGGCCCACGAACGACTGCGCGAGCCCGCAGAAGCCACGCTCAACCCAGAATGGCGATTCGAACTGCATCATGGCCTTCGTGTAGTACCCGTAGCTGAGGGACTCTATCCACGCCTGTTTGGGGAGCGGTAGGGCCGGCCGGAAGCTGATGTTCTTGAGGGCCGGGCCGGGGATGGTCGTGATCACCTTGCGCGCGGCCAAAACCCCCTCGTCCGTCTGGACCTTTACGGCGTAGCGGCCGCCTCCGGGGTGGTCGTCCCGGACGACAGCACGGACGGGCCGGCTCAGGCGCACGACGCCCTCGGGCAGCGACGAGGCCAGGCCTTTTGAGAAGACCTGCGTGCCCTGGCGGACGCGCAGGTACTGGCCGCCGTCCTTGCGGTCGGAGCGCATCTGCAACAGGCCCCCGCCCGATTTGCAGTAGTTTAGAAAGTAGAGCGCGGAAATGTCGGTCGCCTCCTGGCCCAGCATGGCGCAGGTCCACACGTTGGCCGTGGCCATAGCCACGTCGTCGGCGCCCCGCAGGCGCAGATACGCCGCAAAGGTCAGGCTGTCCAGGCTGGTGTCTTTGGGCTTCCATGTATCGACGGCCTGGCAGTCGGCCTCGACCATGTCGCGGATGCCGGCCAGTGCTTTGCGGGTGGCCTCGTCAAACTGTGACCAGGTGAGTCTCCGATCCGAAAAGAAAATGCTGCTTTTCTAGCACGGAGCTGTACAAGACACCCTCTGGCTTTCTGCTCGACTTGGATAGGGAACGGGGGGGGGGTGCTTACAAAGGGAAGTTCTCCGTAGGGGAAAGGCGAGCACTTTCCATCAAAGTCCTGGAGGACTACGTCCCCGTTGGTGTTTTGCTCAATCAGCTCTGCCCCGTACTCCTTGGCCAAGGCGTAGACCCGGCTTTGGTTGGTGTCGTTGATCCATGCCGCGCCAAGGTCGACGACGCCAGGTTGCCCGTCTTGCAACGGCTCGCTCCACGTCTTTCCGCCGACGCGGTCGCGCGCCTCCAGTACGACGCAGGAGAGGCCGCTCTTCAGGACGTCCCGGGCGGCAGACAATCCGGCCAGGCCGGCGCCAATGATGACGACGTCCACTGACTCGTCGGCATCCGGCAGGGCAAGGCCACGCGCGGGCGCGGGGGTCTCGGGCACGGCGAGGACGGCGTCGATCTCGAACAGCCAGGACGAGACGGCTAGCTTGGACACGGGTATGAGGGTGATTGCCGGCCGGTGGCCGCCCAGGAAGCGCTGGATGTGGCGCGTGTGCTTGCGGGCCGAGCTGTCGTAGTCGACGATGAGAAGCGTGAGCTTCACGATGTCCTTGACCGACGCGCCCGCGACGATGATGATCTTGCGCAGGTTGAGGAGCGCCAGGTGGATCTGCGACTCGTAATCGTCGGGGACCACGTCGTCCTTGGTGTTTCCGGGCTGGCCGGAGACATGAACGAGCCTTGCGCCCGACGGGGCCACGGTTGCTGATGCGTAGTATGCCGTGGAGGTGTTGTCCAGGTCGAGTGCGCGGACCTTGGGCGGCATCGTGGAATGTGAGTGTGTGAAAGCACGGGTGTTGCAGAGTGTCCTCCAAGAGAGATAGTGCTATCCTGCAGAGTAAAGAGAGATGGAGAAGGAGAGAGAGTGCATGTGTGTCGGGTAACGGTTTATGCAAGACAGTCTTCAGATTTCCGGGCTGGTCTTTTTCAATGGATCGACCAATTTATGAATAACGTTGGGTTTGGGTTTCACGGTGTACTAGACAGGTTGTCCAGCTCAATCAATACACATGATATGTCACCGGCATGTATGATGGCTCCACCAGGACCTTTGATACGCACGGTAATCTACCTATCTCTAGCTTAGCTCCCTATCTGTCTATTGTTTTCCCAACAGTACCCCGGCATGATCGGGGGACCGGGGTCGAAGTGCGGGCACTGCGGGGCAATGCACGGCGCTATCGGCGGCGTGGGGCAATCGATAAGAGACTGCTATCTCCGTCCCTGCCCGCACGCGCCTCGGCGGTCTAGATCCCGATATCGCCATGGGCGCTACGTCGGGGGTTTTTTCTTCTTCTTTTTTTTCTTTTCTTTTTCAACTGCCAGGTTCCACGTAAACCCGAGTTTGTCTGTCGGAGGTAGGCTGCCGCAAGCTGCGGTGACATGCAATCATGCGTGCCCTGGGTCTTGACATTCCGATATCGTTATGTACAGGCGGCCGTCGCTTTAAGATACCGCGATCCGACATCACCACCCGAGACTTGCTCCAAACCCATGTTCCTACAAGTGAAAATTGACACGGCGTTACTGTATGCAAACAACATTGCCTTATTCTGTGGCTGAACCCCTGATACCGTACCTAGCTCCCTCGTTCAAAGTTACACGTACATAGACATCGCTTTCACTCCCTCCGACATGGCTTCTGTACCTCAACTGAAAGATGAGACATTGCTCGTCGGCAAAAACTTCATCAACGGTGAATGGACGGACTCGGTTTCCGGGAAGACGTTCGATGTGACTGGTGCGTCCATGTTCTTCGTTCGCCCCCCCTTTTTTCTAATCATTACTTGCTCCTGCCCCGGATGTTCTTCCATCTGCTGACTGAAGCCATAGATCCCGCCACGGGAGACCTGATCGGGTCGTGTCCTGAGTCCGTTGCCGCGGACGCCGATCGCGCTATAGAATCAGCGGCTGCGGCGCTGCCAGGATGGCGGTCAAAATCCGGCCGGGAACGGTCGCGCATCTTGCGCCGCTGGTACGATCTCGTCATCGAGAACAAGACGGACCTCGCCACGTTGATCACTTGGGAAAACGGCAAGGCGCAGGCGGACGCTGCCGGCGAGGTCCTCTTTGCCGCCAGCTTCCTCGAGTGGTTTTCCGAGGAGGCGGCCCGCGTCCAAGGGGACGTGGTGCCGCATAGCAACACCAACATGAGGATAACCGTCTTGAAAGAACCCGTGGGCGTCTGCGGCCTCATCACACCGTGCGATACCTCCTTCCCTCCCTCTCCCCCGGTCCTCGACTTCTCAGGATTGTGAATAGTGCTGACATGCGGGGCTGCGTAACAGCTGGAACTTCCCGGCCGCCATGCTCGCCAGAAAAGTCGCGCCTGCTCTGGCGGCAGGCTGCACCGTGGTGGCCAAGACGGCCGGAGAGACGCCCTTCTCCGCCAACGCGCTGATGCTGCTCGGCGAGAGGGCCGGCGTCCCCAGGGGCGTTGTCAACATTGTCTGCGCGCTGCAAAACACCCCCGAGATCGGCGCCGCCCTCTGCGGGTCGGACGTCGTGCGGAAGATCTCCTTCACGGGCTCCACCCGCGTCGGCAAGCTCCTCATGCAGCAGTCGAGCCAGACCCTGAAGAAGCTGAGCCTCGAGCTGGGCGGGAACGCCCCGTTCCTGGTGTTCGACGATGCCGACCTGGACATCGCCATCTCCGGGGTGATTGCGAGTAAATTCAAGGTTTCCGGGCAGACTTGCGTGTGTGCCAACCGCATATACGTCCAAAAGGCCATCTACGGCGCCTTTGTCTCCAAGTTGAAGGAGGCCGTTGGCCAATTCAAGCTAGGTCATGGGTTCGATGGCCGTGTTACACATGGACCTCTTGTCATGCCAGGCGCTGTTCAGCGAGTCTCGGAGTTAGTAGAAGATGCTGTTGTCAATGGTGCCCGAGTGGAAGCAGGCGGAAAGGCGCGCCCGGATCTTGGTAGGCTCTGACGGGATCCCACGCTCCGCCGAGGGTGGAAAGTAGGCTGACTCAAGTTCCCAGGTCCCAACTTCTTCGAGCCCACCATTATCAGCAATGTGAGCCCGACGGCGAGGATTCTTCACGAGGAGATTTTCGGCCCTGTGGCACCGATCCTGTCCTTTGCTACGGAAGAGGAGGTGGTTGACGCGGCCAACCGGTGCGACGTCGGCCTCGCGTCGTACATCTTCACAAACGACCTCGGACGCGCCGCGAGAGTTTCTGAGCTGCTGCAATTCGGCATGGTGGCATTGAACACCGGTGTTATTTCTGATGCCGCTGCTCCGTAAGTTTTTCTTCTTCTTCCTTTTTTTTCCCCACCTGCATCTCGTTCGTTAACGTGGAACTATCCACTGCCAGATTTGGAGGGATCAAACACTCTGGGATGGGTAGAGAAGGAAGCAAGTATGGGATTGACGACTATTTGACCACAAAGACATTGGTGACAGGCAACGTCCAAGTTGTTCACCGGTCGCACCTTTGAGTGTTTGGAACAGGTGGTTGATAGCCAGCGGCTATCCCAAGAATGACGATTATATCAAACTTGCTGGCGACGAAGACATTTTATACAAGACTGCCAATCATGTTATATAGCTTGAGCAGTGACTTGTATATCTGCTTGATATACGCAAGTATGTACTGTCAAGTATTCAAGTACACTAGGATACCTACCTGAGGCGCCGTTTAGAGAGCAGGCAAGTTTGTGACCATTTGGAACTGGCTGGAGCGGGTTGTGGAACCCAACCGTCCTTTACTTGTCATACCTAACCTCCCATGGCAGCTTTCGAATCACTCCAGAATACAGATGGTTGCAACAGAAAATCGTGCCACATAAAACAAGGAGCTTTTTGGTCATCTGCTATGGTGTTGTAGTTAGTCTTACGGCACGAGACATCTGAGCCATGGGGACTTGACGCACCATTGAATAACACGTAGAACCGTTGGGAATCTCAATAAACACAAGCCAAGCTTTTCTTTTTGTTCCGGTGTCTATAAGCCACGCCAAGCACCATATGCCTAGTCCATTCATGAGCGCAGGTATGCCTTCATCGCCTTGACCGCATCTCCGTCGTTGGCCTTGAGAAGCTCCGTGGCCTTGGGCTTGGGAAGCTCGAGCTCGTCGACCTGGTCGTCTGTCAGCATTTCCATAGTGACAATCGTCTATCCACTTCCCCGCGGCGCAAGCAGCTGGTTTTTCATCTGCCGCATGTCACTCGGGGGTGGTGGGGGTGGTGACTGACCAGCAGGGCAACGTCGGCAGCGTCGACCTTGACGTTCTTGACCTCCTTCTTGGCTGCGGTGGCGCCGCCCAGGCCCTGGATGGCCTTCTGAGCGGCCTCGGCGTCGACCTGGGTGTTACCCGAGTCGTCACCGCCGGCGTCGAGGCTGGCGAGGGCGGAGGCGGCCTTGCGGTCCTCGGCGGACTTGGCGGGCTGGACCTCCTCCTCGACGTCACCGGCGGGGGGCTGCTTCTCGGACATTGTGTGTTGAGTGTGGGTGTGAGATGGTTTCGTTCGACGGATCGGGTCGCTTGGAGACGATCCGAGATAAGCGACTGTCTGCTTAGGGGTGACGCACTAGGCTGCCGGATTGACCCTGTCGTGAACTTCTGTTCTGAGGCGGCTCGCCTTTCGAACAAACTATAACTGTAATAGCTGCGCAGCCTTAGAACTTGACCTGTTCCCTAAAATATGCAATTCAAGGCAATCTAGCGAAGTCAAAGGCCATGGGCTGCCGAGTCCCCTAGCGACGGACGTCAATTTCTAGGGACACAGCCCAAGAATCTCGGAACTGGACCAGGCCTGACCTTTGGCGGAAGAACTGAATTGTAGGCGAACCAACTAACTATAACAGGCCAGTAGACAAGTATAACCATGGTCACGGCGGCTTTGGTGAAGGTGGTCTCAAGCGCA